AGAGGGAGTGGGTTAATCTGATCACAGAAGTCATTTATTAAGTGGCCCATTGTGTATGGCACCTGTCCTGGGCACAGAGGAAAGTAAGGTTAAGAAATCTGGTCAAAGTCAGCACCTACAAGGGAAATGACAGTTTGGTGGGGCCCCCAAGTTCTGTAGCCTGCTCTCGAGGCCACTCATTCTACAGCACCCCCCGGAGTGGGGGCTGGCTTCCCACCCACCTTGGTTAGCTGACCAAACCCCTGAGGCCACTCGTCTTCCTGATAGGGGTCCTTGGGATACGTCTTCACTGGCGAACGGTCTCCATGTCGGTACAGCTGAGGAAAGAAAATGGTTTGCCTACAGGTGAGAAGATTCCTCGATGGGGACACAGAGCCCACCTCTGCCCCCTGTAGGGGAGGGAAGCCCTACTCCTGTGAAGCCTTAACTCTGCCCACTGCAAAAGACCCCCAACTCAGAAGTCAGTAACTTTGAACAGGTTCCAGAGATTCTAATTTGGCCAACCAATGCCCCTGGAGACCATAGGCGAAGCCAAAGACACAGGTGGGAAAGAGAAAGAGAAAGGAAAGCAATGCAGGTGATGGGGGAAATAGAGGGAAAATCACCAAAGGCTTAAGGGTGAAGGGTGCGTCTCTTGACCGTTCTGTAACAGCCCTGTCCCAGGACAGACTCACCCGACCTATGCCCTGATATGGAAGTACTTACACCCTGCCTGCTCCCCGAAAAGAACTCGGGCTCCCCACCAATTCCGAACCGGACCCCCACCCTCCAGGCCGGTCGTCTCCTCCTAAACCGGCTTCAGCTCCGTGAAAGACCCCGACCCCAGCACAAGCCCCGCCCCTCCCTCCAACAGCGGGCCTGTGCCCTTCCAGCTCTGGCGAGCCCTTGGGCCACCGCGTCTCTCATTACCAACGTAACGAAGCGCAGACTCCGGGCCTGGGTGGGGGGCATCACCATCAGGTTCACGCCAAGAAGGAGATGGAGAAGAGCCGCCCCGCTCCACGCAAACTGTCTGCCCGCCATCACCGTTAGAGACTCTGCTGCAAAAAGGCTGGAACCCGCTGCGTGGCACCTCCAGCTGCCGCCCGGACGCACCGGTAAGGACACACGCCGGAAGTGCCTTCGCCGCCATCTTGCTAAAGGAAGGGCCGATGGTGGGAGAAGGAGGAATTTGGGAGGGAATGCGTGTAGGAGGCTCGTGATGCGGCCGGGCGGAGGAGCGTGGGAGTGTAGCGCAACCTCGCGCGGCAGAAGATGCTGAAGACCTCGTCATGGTAAAGGGAACCCCGAGCTCGGGTTGGCCTCTGCCGCGGAGATCCAGTAACAAGGTGGCGCCTGCTGTGGGCCGGACATTGGATGGGAGAGCGAGCGCCCCCTCGGGCCGGGGTGCGGCCGGGCCTGAGCTCAGAGCCAGAGCCGCTGCCGAATTGAGGCGAGGGTTGGGAAGTGTAGGGCGCCCTACTGCCTTCTGGTGGAATTTGAGCCTTGACTCTGGCTCTGTTCCCCGGCGGAGGCCCCGTTTGGTGTAGGGCACAGCGTGTCAACAGTTCTTTGGACTCCCCGAGCTCTTGAGGTTAGTCCCAGTGTAGCCTACAGCTCGAGCCTTTGAGCAAAGCTCCAGGAGACCTCTCACTTTCCCTTCCAGTCCTTTCCCTGCCCTCCCATCCTTCCACTTCCGAGTTTTGGATGTCTTGCAAGGTGTCACGCTTCCTCCGAAACGAGTGGGTTGCACCGTATGTTCAGACTTTGCGAAACCAAAGCAGTGAATCCACCGGGGAGGAATTTCAGACCAGTGGGGAGATCTATAGGGATAAGGGGAAGGAATATATCATAAAGTGGGAGTAAGTGGAGTTTCCACAGAATCAGAGGCCCTCTAGGCATTGGCCGTAAGGATCCAGGTGCAGCCAATTTAGCTTCATGACTTTGTGGCTGAGCTTGGTGTGACTCAGAGCTCCAGGATCACAGGCCCTTGGGATGCTTTGATTCAGATCTGCCCACTGGAAGTAAAATCACTTCAGATGGTTGGAGAAATAAAACCTGATGAGAACTATATGGGATCCAATTAGAACTATTCGGATCCAATTATTTATATATACCTTATTATATATACCTTACAGAGTTGTAATGGAGGAGTGAATAGAAATTGAGAGCTGAAGGATGGGTAGTCAAATAGCTCTTAATCTTCTTACTTATTCGCAAGGGCCTTTATGAATCAGATGGAAATTTACTCCCCTGTCTTCCGGAAAAATGTCCACACACACAAATGGAATTTTGCACATAATCTCAAGAGGTTCATGAAGAACGTCAGTAGTTTTCATAAGTCAGCATCTCTGAATCCCCAATCTAACCTAGTCCCCTTACCTTAAAGGGTAAGGAAACAAAGCCAGAGAGGAACTTGTCCAGGGTCACAGAGTTTAAGAGAAGGGATTAAAACTCAAATTTTCTGATTCCCAATTAGTCTTTGTAATGTGCCACTTCTTGCAGGCTACTCAAACTGCATTGCTAACCCATATTGGGTGGCCCCCAAATACTTTCAATAGAGATTCTGACAAAGGAAACCTTTTCACATTGGTGGGGTTGAATGGGGCACAGCTAACAGGCAAAATTCTGCATAGTAGTGGGAGTTCTTGAGTGTTTCTTTCTTTTTTTTTTTTTTAAAGATTTTATTTATTTATTTGAGACAGAGAGAATGAGAGACAGAGAGCATGAGAGGGAGGAGGGTCAGAGGGAGAAGCAGACTCCCTGCCGAGCAGGGAGCCCGACGCAGGACTCGATCCCGGGACTCCAGGATCATGACCTGAGCCGAAGGCAGTCGCTTAACCAACTGAGCCACCCAGGCGCCCCTTGAGTGTTTCTTTTAGTATATCCCTTACTCTTCTTGCACTGTAGCCAGACCTTTGTGATTTCAGAATGTAAATCTTGGGCTCACTAAATTTTGGCGAGTAGAACAAATTCATCTTTTGCTTTTCTTCCCACTTGCTAAAGTATGTCTGTACCCTTTGTGCCTGCAAGTATCCTATGTAGGAGGGATTGATGGAGCAGATATGATTTCATTTCTGTAGGGAAACACAAATCCAGGAAGAGTGAAGATTATACCACAAGTACATGGTAGAACCAAGAGCTAAGCCCTGGTGTCTTGACCCCCAGCTTCTACATATTTTTTACCAGATGATTCCGTGGTCTGCATACCTTGGTTCCTAACTACAGATGCAAAAAACTAGGCATGTAAATAGATAGATAGGTAGATACAGGGGCCTACCCCAGACCAAATAAATCAGAATCTCTGAAAACGAGGCCAGGTTTGGAAACCACTCTTCCACCCTGTGTTGTCAGAAGCAAACCTAAATCCAGGTGAGTTAACCACTTTTTCCATCTGCGGAGGCAGTTTTGTGTAATGGAGTGAGGTATTTTTTTGTTTGTTTGATTTTGAGTTTGAGCTTTTGAGTCAGTTATACCTGTATTCAAATTTGATATTTGCCCACTTGCTAGTAACTATCTCCTAGGGTTATATATGAGGATAAATAAAATAACACATGCAAAGATAAATATGTGTAGTAATAAAAGTTACTTTTCTCCTTTTTGCCTGGTCTATCATCTCTGAACTCATAGGCCTGGGAAGCAGAAATTCCTGGGTTCTTCTCTATCTTGTGATTGGAGGTTGGGCAGAAGTTGTTTGAGTGCCCTGCAAGATGACCCCCACACTCTGCGTTTTTCCAGAATGGTGAAGGAGGGAGCAAGAACCAGTTTCCCCAGTGTGTCCCTCCAGACCGTACCTTGTGGCCTGCTTCATGGGATTTCAAGTACTTTCAAGGGAATTATCAAGTTGTACATGTGACTGGGAACTGGTGAATGCTCCTCTGTTTTTGCTTCAAGATTCCCCTTGCTTCAAGTAAAAGCCTCTGGAGGTTTAGGGGTCACAAATGTGACCTGGAAGATCCCCAAAGGTTCTAGGATCCCCTAGGAGCCAAAGAAACCTAGGAAAGGCCCTATGGCACTGGGAGGCTTTGCACCTAACACTTGTGGGCTGGTGGGACCATTCTGTGGGGGTGGGTCTGGCAAAGTGAGACATGTGACCCCAGCTGCTGATCATCTGACTACTTGCTCTGGTTTGGGAGAGAAGTCCCAGTGGTTGGCCTGCAGAAACTCTGTGGAGATAGTGCCAGCAGGTTTTGGTCTTCTTCCGTTTTCCTCTCCTTTCCCTTTTCATGGTGGGGGAGGCTCCTGAACCCCTGTAACCTGAAGGGGTAGCTCCGGCAGTAAAGCACAGTCAGTGCTTCCTCCTTCTCTACCTGAGATAAAGTGAACTGACTCCCTGGCTTGGAGGGGACGGTGCCCTGACCTGTTTGCTGAGCAACTGGTGCTAGCCTGGGTCAAGGGGGCTCCAGATGGGGCTCGTGTGTGCTCGCGGGTCCTGGGCTACAGGGAGACTAGGGTGTCAGGAGGGAGAGCTGAGGATCAGGAGTAGATGAGAGAGGTGTTTTCCAGCTCCCAGAAGATAGGTCATCAAGCCCCAGACCACGTTACAGCCCATGTTCCTTGTAACCAGGTGTTGCGGTGACATCTCTGGCTATACTTCTGGGGGTGGGGAAAGGTGGAGGAGGAACTGGATGGATGGTGTAGATGCTGGGACAGGATGGTTGCAATTTCCCAGGGCTTGGAGTCCCTGGTGTCTACTTTCCAGAACAGCTGGGGCCTTGTGAAAATCAGGAAAGGAACACATGCAAGAGGAATGGAGAGCCTTGTGCTCGTGACTCAGAGATGCTCAGACAAGGGTGGTGGCCTTATGAGGCGATGATCTTGTGATAAGAGGGAACAAGAGCTAAAACTGGAGGCAGAACTTTGAGATGGGGGGGGTGTCAGAGGGGCTTTTCTGACATGTGAAAGTGAATACATGGGCAGATTTTGCAACACCATGCAGCCTGCTGCCTTCTCAAGTCTCTGCTCTCCAACCCCGCCTGTTCCCCCGCCCCACCCTGTGCTTCCTCCCATCTCTCACCAAGCTCCTTCTCTGTTTCTGCTTTCCCTGTCCTTCTCCCATCCTGTTCCTCCACACCCTCTGTCCACTCTTTCCCTTTTCCCTCTCTTCCCTGGTGCCCTGTTCATCTGGTTCAATCCCTCTGGCTGCCTGCCCTGGCCCTCTGTCCTTCTGTCCTTTAATGTGGGGCCCATGGGAACTGGAGTTCACAGCAAAACAGGAAGAGCCTGGGAGCAGGAAACTGGGAGCAGGGCAGGGGGTGAACAACCAGCAGTAACCTCAGTTCCTCGCCTCCCACATCTGGACTGAAGCATCCCCAGGGTGCTCTGTCTCTCCCATTGCAGCCCACCAGCCCTAGCTTCTCCCATCTTAGTGCTTCACTGGTCCCCCTGACCTGAGAGGCAACCAGACGAGTATTCCTGGACTCGGACACAGGAGAAAGAGCGAGCACAGGGACTAGAGTGAGGACATCTGGATGCTGATCCCAGCTTGGTCACTAACTGTGTGTGGTCTTGGAAAGGGCCCTCCCATGAGCTCAGTGCTCTCTGTGAAATGGTGCTCCTCTTATTTACCCTCCCTCCTTGTTGGGGCTGCTTTAAGGACCAAAAGAGATAGTGAGGGGTTTGTATATGGAAACAAGCACTGGAAGGTTAACAGTGTACAGATTTGAGGTGATGGGAAGACCTATAGATGAAAGAATTGAGAGAGGAATGATAACTGCTACCATTTCTTCAACACTTACTATGTGCCACACATTGAGCTATGTAATATGTGGTTTCCTTCTCATGACAACCTTATGTGGCAAAAACCATTATTAATATCATCCCTATTTTAAAGGTAGGGAAACAGGTTCAGAGACATTATGTAACTCATTTAACCAAGATCATAGTTACTAAGAGGCAGAGGCAAAGCCAGGCCCAGAACTCAGGTGCTAAATCAACATGATGAGATTAAATGAACTAGAGTTAACAGGTGTAGAGGAGGATCATACTATTTTTCTTGTTCACCTATTCATTTAACAAACAGGAACATAGTACCTACTCTGTTGCCTGCTCTGTGATAGGCCCTGTTCCGTGGGCTACAGGAGAGATAAAATCAATAAAACATGGTATCTCCCTTCAGGGATGGATCTCATGTTCCAGGGAACAGGGCAGGACAGCTATGGCTATAAGTTGTGGTAGATGCTGGATAGAACCTACCATCACTTCAGATGGAACGGTTCCCAGATGTGAGAACCTGCATACCTTCCCAGGTCCATCCTGGGCTGGCACCTGGGTCACCTGCCATCTCCGCCCCCACCCCCATCCCAGGCCTGCCATTGCTCACATCTCAGTGGCCCCTGCAGGGTACCGCCACTCAGAGACTCCCTGGAAGGATAAGCACCTGCCTCTCCATCCCTGGAGTTATACTAGTTTGGCTGAGGCCTGGGGCTAGTGGGGGGAGCTTTTTGGCCCCTTCCCAGAGGCAGGGGAGGAGGAGGGAGGCTGGGAAAGCAGGCTGGGGCTCAGTGTCGCAATTCCGGGCAGTGCCGGGACCTTTGCTCTACGAGGTGTCTATGGACCGGAGGGAACACCGACTGTGGAGGCTGCCGGGATTGGGGTAGGGGTGCTGGGGAGGCAGTCCTGTAAGAGCAGCTAAGAGCCACCGGGGTGAGGAGAGGAAGGGGAGAGACGTGGAACTGGGCTGGTTTACAGGGAAATGCGACTATCATGGTTGGGGGCCAGGCGGGGGGGGGGGGGCGGGGGGCGGTAGGGGTGAGGCTGGGCTGAGGGGGCGGGTGGGCGGGCTGGGGAGGAGTCAACATGGTGGGGAAGCTGCCCCGTGGGTGTGGGGGGCGGCGGCCAGGGCTCTGGTCAGTTGTCTCCGCTCTGCCGAGCAGGAAGGAGAAGTGGCCCGACCCCTTGGCAGTCGCTCCCCGCAGCCTTTCCCCACATTACTTCCCTGGGGCTCCGGTCCCTTACTTGCTCAGCTCCGGCTCGGCTCCGCCAGCGTGAGGCCTCCAGACAGGGGATTGCACCGTCCTCCCCTCCCAGCAAGGGGGCTCCAGAGACTGCCCCAGCCAGGCAGTCTGGTGGCCTGGGGGATTCGGTGGGTCTGCTCCTCAGCACTGGCCTGGGGCTCTGTGTGTGAGTCTGGGATGGGGGGGGGTACCCTGTAGATCTTAGAAAGGGATCTCTGGGGAGAAGTGAAGGATGATGGTGATGGCAGCCCAGGTAGCAACAGGATTCTGTTTAGGTCCCAGAATAATTCCTGAGGGGTTCTGGGGGGAGGGGGTCCTGGCTGTGAAATGGAGCGACTCCTGGAGGCAGGAGGTTTGTTCTGGGACCCTGGAAAGTGACAGCAGTGAAGTTATCTAACAAACAGTCTTACTGGGTGAGTGAGCCTCGATCCCCTGCCCTAGTCCTAGCCAACTTTGGCTGTCCCCAGTGCTGGAGGCGGGGAGAAGGGGCTCTGACAGAAGCTGGGCATATGTGCCCAAACACTCTGTGATGGCCTGGAGGGATCCCCTGGGGGAGAAAAGGTGGCAAGGTGGCCATCTTAGCCAACAGCTAAGACTTTGGTCTCAGAGAGACCAGAGTTGGAATCTTGGCTCTATCATTGCCTGTGTGGCTATAGGCAATTCACTTAATCTCTTTGAACCTCAGTTTCCTCATCTATAAAATGGGCTTAAGAATAGTCATGATATCATAGGCATATCAAGAGGAAGGCATATAAAGCCTTAGCACAGGCTGATATATACATATACAGCAAGTAAATGTTAGCGGGCGTATTAGTACTCGTACGATCAGGAGGAGAAGGTTGCTGAGGCCAGAAAGGAGCCCAGTTCTGAAGACTGTAACATGGGTCATTCCCGCAGGACAGCCTCCTTGGTAATGTCCAGGGCTCCAGGAAGAGATGTCCTTGTGGCTGGAGGCCCCTGTGCCTGATGCTTCTCCCGGTAAGCTTCTTCACTCCAGCCCTCTCCTCTGCGCTCAGGTCCCAGCTCCTCTCCTCCCTCAGGAATCAGCCTCCTTCACTACTTGCCTTCTGCCATGCCCTGGAGAGCAGTCCAGAGTCGTTTTCAGTATTGCCTGCCTCCTTCTGCCCAGACTACCTCCACGCTGGGTCTGGTGCTGGTCCTTCTCAATGTGGGCTTGCTGCTGGGGAGAGTTGGCTTGTCTAGTGCTTACCAGCATTGGCTTTGAAGAGTTCTGTCTGACCTCTGAAGTGGATACACGTCAGCCCCTCAAGGGGACAAAGGTTAACATCCTCATCTAAGGTATTGAGGTGCAGGGGACTGCAAGTGACTAGCCCTAGAGCCCACACAAACTCCAGGGTCCTGCTGCCCTCTAGGGGTAGAGATAAATTTGCAGTTTCCCAGAAGGACGCTGAGGCAGTGGACGGGAGGGGCCTGAGACCCCCCTGTACCTCTCTTTCGGGGCTCAGACTCTGCAGTGGAGCTGTGGGAGCCAAATGCACAAGATGCCGGCAGCCAGGCGCTGGGAGGCAACACTGGCGTCCTCAGGGAGGAAGCCAGCACTCCCCAATCTGCTGGGGGCTCTCTGGGGGCAGGGCTGGAGGCAGCAGAGCCTGCAGTCCTGCTCCCTGGGGTGGATACCCTTCCAGAGTCTACAGGTGAGGAGCTGTTGGATTTGGAGGAGGTAGGGGCCCCCTGGATCTGGGAGGGGTACCTTAGGGCTGTTTACCTTATAAGATCATGGTTAAATCCAAAGGCTTTGGATTCTACTAGATCTGAGTGATCTGAATGTGAAATGTCTCTGCCTTGGGCCTTTCTGAGCCTCAGTTTCCTTATCTGTAAAATGGAAATAATAACGGGACCTATCTGTTACGGTTGTGAGGATCAATGCATATAAAGGGCTCAGGCAGTACCTAGGATGGAATAGCACTTGGCACATGAGAGCTACTTTCTCATAACAGACTAGACAGCATACAGTGAAGGGGATGAAGGTCACTGAGTACTCAGGGCATGCTTTCTCCTTGGAGGAGAACATGAAGGCTCTCCCCTGTATCCAGAGCTGCGTCCACAAAAGCGGAAAAAGGGGCCAGCCCCCAAAATGCTGGGGAACGAGCTGTGCAGTGTGTGTGGGGACAAGGCCTCCGGTTTCCACTACAACGTGCTGAGCTGTGAGGGCTGCAAGGGCTTCTTCCGCCGCAGCGTCATCAAAGGGGCACGCTATGTCTGTCACAGCGGGGGCCACTGCCCCATGGACACCTACATGCGCCGCAAATGTCAGGAGTGTCGTCTTCGGAAGTGCCGCCAGGCCGGCATGCGGGAGGAGTGTGAGTGTCTGGGGACAGGAGTTGGGGGGAGAGGCTGGGGGGAAAGGGGCACCGGGGTGTGAGAGCAGACAGGCAGCTGAGCCTACGGGGTCTTCCTACACGGTCCCCAAGTATGGGTTAAAATTTCTTCCTTGACTTTACCCGATGCTCTCTGCTTTTCTAGAGCCTCAAACTACCCCTCTGCCCCACCCTCGCTTCTTGTCTCCCTCGCTTCTCCCCTCTGCACGTCCAACCCTGTCCTTAGGTGTCTTGTCCGAAGAGCAGATCCGCCTGAAGAAACTAAAGCGGCAAGAGGAGGAACAGGCTCAGGCCACGTCCATGACCCCAAGGGGGTCCTCACCTCCCCAAGTCCTGCCCCAGCTCAGCCCCGAGCAGTGGGGCATGATCGAGAAGCTGGTGGCCGCCCAGCAACAGTGCAACCAACGCTCTTTCTCTGACCGGCTTCGGGTCACGGTAACTGAGGGAACTGGGGCGAGGGGGCTGCGCCCAGAGCGCCCAGCGACTTCTGGATAGCTGACTCAGTGTTGGTTGTTTTTTCCGCCCTTGCCCTGCTGCGTAGCCTTGGCCCATGGCACCCGATCCCCAGAGCCGGGAGGCCCGTCAGCAGCGCTTTGCCCACTTCACCGAACTAGCCATCGTCTCTGTGCAGGAGATTGTTGATTTTGCCAAACAGCTGCCTGGCTTCCTGCAGCTCAGCCGGGAGGACCAGATCGCCCTGCTGAAAACCTCTGCGATCGAGGTGGCTGGCAAGGCCGAGGGTGAAGGGAGCACCAGGGTGGGACTGTCTCTGGCAGGGGCTTCCAGGCAGCCAGGTGGGGAGCCAAGGTGCCCCATGCCAAGACCAGCCTTCTGAGTCCCTGTTTGAGGTCTGCTCCTTATGTGCAGGTGATGCTTCTGGAGACATCTCGGAGGTACAACCCTGGGAGTGAGAGTATCACCTTCCTCAAGGATTTCAGTTATAACCGGGAAGACTTTGCCAAAGCAGGTAAGAACTGAGATCAAAAAAGGATCAGGTTGGATGGAAAGACACTTTTTGTCATCAGGCTCATAGGGACTACAGAGACACAGGCCCAGGGTTTGGGTGGCTGTATGGGGAAGGCTCCACTTGTTTTTCCAAGATAGAAAGTTGGGGTGGTGATAGGCCTCTCTCGCTGTTCCAAAGAGACCCCTGTCCTCTGTTGCATTTGGCCAGTGGTTTTCAGTGCTTCGGGGAACCTGAGGGGCTCCATAGAAGTGTCACCTTAGAGGAGGAACAGAGAGGCACAGGACTGTCTTTCATCCTCTCTTTAGCCAAACAAGAAACTCCATTTAATATTGTGCTTCTGCGTAATGTTTTGCTTGAAGAAATGATTTCGCAGCTAGAAAAAAAAAAAGCTTGAAAACCGTTGCACGGAGCCTTTTAGTATTTACTGATGAACTTGACTGTGCTCTTTAAGGATTGTGTGGACTGATTTTGCCCCCTACTCTTTTTCAGTTGCTTTTTCTGAAAAGCTAAAAACATGCTGAAACATGGCAATTTTAGGGCAGTTTTAGGATAAGAGTAAACACTCCCATCCCCATGCTGTACCTGAGTGTTTTCTCCAAGAATTAGTTCACAATGCTGCTCTTTGCTACTTGCTTGCGGGCTAAGCAATGTTGGTTTCCTCATATTCAATTGTTGGTAATGTTTGTATTATGGGAGTGGGGGTGGGAGAGAATGGAAGGCTGAGAGGGTTTTGGAGAGACTAGAACTTCGGCTCAACAGGAGACCGAGTAGTTGAACACCTGAGGGAGTAGGTCTGTGAAATAGGGCTGAGGCTATGACTCCATTCTCGGGGTTGGTAGGTCCTGGTTTCCAGGGCAGAGCTCATAATCTTCTCTGGTTTCTGGTGACACAGAGCAGCTCATATGCCTCTTGTTCCAACACAGGCCCCTCCAGTGAACTTTCTAGGAAGGCCTCCCTTAAATTCTAGGGCATGGCCGAGCTCTGTGGGCATCTCCTGCCTTCTGTAGGGCCCCGTGGTGCTGCTGGAGTGTGTAGGCACCTAATGGGGCAATTTGATGACTTTCTCCAGCTTTCAAAGCCCAGCCCTGCTCCCTTTATCTGCCTGGTCCCCAAATGCTTATTATCCCCGTCCTTCCAAAGCATGGCCGCCGCCTCCTTCCGAACACCCTCCTTTCTGAACCCTTTGCCATTCTCATGTCTACGGTGTTGCTTCAGCACTTGTGGACTCGTGCCATCTGAATCAGCACCTATTTATCGATTTCATTGACGTAAGCAGTTTTGATGCCATCATGTTTGCCTTTCTTTTTGTCAGTGAGGTCTTGGGGAGGAGGGGCAGGGCCTCTCTTTTGTCCGGTCTCTGTCCATCTCTGCATCCGCTACCGTGTGCTGCATGCGGCGGACAACTCAGGATGTGGATCCATAGCAGCGGAGGCGCGTGTTCAGCAAGCATGAGCGGCCCTGGGAGGGCGCACGGCCCAACTCCAGAACCTCCCCATCCTCTCTGTACAAAGGGGCCGTTCAGCACATTTTGAGGCTCAACACTCCACCAAGAAAGGCTTTATAAAATGGCACTTATCCATTAAATGTCTCAACTGTCTCAACACACACTTGATAAACATCAGGGTGAAAGTACAGGAAGTGACTAATCAGGAAGCCTCGAATGGAAAAGTTAGCAGATGGCTGCTAAAAGAAATCTGAGAAAGCCTAGGGGACAGGGTGGGGTGGGTAGCCTTTGTAATGGGAGAAGTGTTCTTTAGATGTCATGACTGTAGGTCATGGTTTGTTGAACTTTACCCTCCTCGGCAAGAAGACTGGTTCTATGTTTTACATTTACTCATTCATTTATTCATTCATTTACTAATTTAACAAACACTTATATAGTAGTTTACCATTCTAAGAACCCATTATGAGGTAGGTACTATTATTATCTCCATTTTACAGATGGAAAAACCAAGGCCCAGAGAGCTTAAATAACTTACCCAAGGTCACACAGCCTAATAAATGGTCGAGCCAGGACTCAAACCCAGGCAGTGTGATGTCACAGTCCATGCCCTCAACCACGTTGCTATGTTCCTGCTGGGACGTGAAACATGAAATGTATCTCTGGTATTCAAATAAGTAAGGCCAATTGCCAGTGAAAAAGTTTTCTTTGTAAACAAAAACAAGCATTGCCTCTATTTCTAGTCATGTGGGGCCCTGGAGAATTCCAGGAATAGCAGGTATTATCATTGAATCCAGCACCTCCTGTGGGCCAAGCACAGCACTACATGCTTTGCCTGCTTTGTGATTTCACCATCACCACAGTCTTTTAAGTTCAGATAGGACTCCCAGCTCACAGAGGAGGCTTAGAAAAGTTAAGAAACTTGCCTAATGTTGCCCAGCAGAGCCCTGAAGACTTCTTAGCGAGTTCCTAACAGTCCTAAGTTGAGGAGTTGGAGGAGAGAAGGAAGTTCCTGCTGCCCGTGCTACATGTCCCAGCCTCCCTTCTTCCTCTCCAGGGCTGCAGGTGGAGTTCATCAACCCCATCTTCGAGTTCTCCAGAGCCATGAATGAGCTGCAACTCAATGATGCCGAGTTTGCTTTGCTCATTGCCATCAGCATCTTCTCTGCAGGTGCGAGGAGGTGCAGGCGGGAAAAGGGGCAAGAGATTTGCACCAAAGGGGGCTGCAGGCCCCATAGGGCAGGAATTGTGCGAGTGGAAGCCCTTGCTGTGCTACTTTGGGGAGGGGCTGGGTGGGGCATGTCCATATATTTGGGGTTATGATTTGGGGTATGGAACTAAGACCTTGGCCAGACCTGCTCCTCAGCTCTGTTGGTGACCTATAGACCGGCCCAACGTGCAGGACCAGCTCCAGGTAGAGAGGCTGCAACACACATATGTGGAGGCCCTGCATGCCTACGTCTCCATCCACCACCCTCATGTGAGTCTCCCCCTGCGTTTCCCCCCTTTTCCTCCTCCCCACAGACTCATCCCCTGACACCTACTTTCCCTTCAAGAATCCTTCCCTGACTACATCTTGCACAGACAATTCACTACCTTTCCCACAATTCCCCTACCCTTGCCCTCTTCCCTGGGGAGAGACAGAAACTGTACTTGTCTCTCTCCTTCCCCCAGGACCGACTGATGTTCCCACGAATGCTCATGAAACTGGTGAGCCTCCGGACACTGAGCAGTGTCCATTCAGAGCAAGTGTTTGCACTGCGCCTGCAGGACAAAAAGCTTCCCCCGCTGCTCTCTGAGATCTGGGATGTGCACGAATGACGGCTCTTCCACCCACCCCTCACCCCCCATATCTTCTGTTTTCTGGGCTGGAAGGCTGAGGCGCCTGGCTGCTTTCTAGAGGTGAAGCAGACTGAGAAGGGCAAACATTCCTGGGAGCCGGGCAAAGGAGATCCTCATGTGGCATTAAAGGAGAGTCAAAGGGTTGGGAGTTTGTGGCTGCTGGGCAGTGGAGGGTCCTGCTAAAACTGTGCTCCATTTGAAGACTGTACTGCCCCAACCACATGGATGGGCCTGGGGGCCACTTTGCACAAGGTTCTCCAGCGCCCTGCCCGTCCTGCCTCCACCACTTCCTGTTTTCCCCACAGGGCCCCCAGAGAAATTCTCCACTGTCACTCTGCGGCTTGGCCATAAATGCCTCGGGGCTGCCTCACTGATAGGTCTGGCGCTGTTTGTACAGAAAGACCAAAAGGAAGATAGAATGAGAGAAACCATTTCTCTTAGGGGTGGGGGCACGGCCACGGAGGAGGAAACCGTCCTTTAGGATCTGCCTCCAGACGCAGAAGAGGGAGATAAGTCACAAGTGACAGCCTTGGCAGTGAGAGGGGACCTCCTTTTACTAGTCCTATGAGGGTAAATGAAATGCTGAGGCTTAGATACCCCTTTCCCGTTTAATGATCCAGGTGGGATCCGGTTGTCTTTCTGAAGGGGAGTGTGGGTGAATTTTCAGAACCTAACACCTCAGTCGTGCATCTGTCTTCGTGCGCGCCCCCATAATACCTCGGGTTTGTGTTGGTACCTAAAAAAAAAAAAAAAAAAAGGCACAACAGTCCGTGCTCTAGAGCCCCAGGCCCTGTGGGACGGGAAGACAAGTGCCCTGAGGCCAGGGGGAGGCTGCCCCGTCGTGGGTTGGGCCTGTCAGAAGGGCTGGACTCCATTTCCCAGAGGACACCGCGGCGCCGTTCACGCCCCCTTCACTCTGCGCGCTCCCGTGTAGGTGAGACTGCGGCCGGGCCTTCCGGCCTCGGTCCCCCCCGCCGTCCCTGAATTGGTAGGCTCCACCTCCGGGAGAGCCGGCTTTGCAGCCCCGGCTGCTGGGCACTTCCAAGCCGCTAGCGGGGGGAGGGAGGGTGAGGTGTGGGGGCCGCTCAGAAAGTCTCAGGAGCAGTTTTATCTTGAGAAGTCGCTTCCAGATCATTATACATCTCGTCGAAATGGGCTCTATTACCATGTCAAATTAAAATTTCTTTGTGCAACCTAAACAAAAGGTATTCCTTTGGGTCCTCCCCGTGGCACGCTTGGCGCTGGGCTGGCCCAGCGCGCCCCATCGCCTTCCCACTCCCACACGGATAGGTGTGTGCGTAGCCGCCTTTCTCCCGAGGTTGGCTCCACCCTTCAGCGCTCGGCTTGGTGCAGCCCTGTACCACCCCTCCCCACCGTGGTGCGTGGTACAGCCCCCGGCCCCCTCATCCTCCCCCTCCCTCACCGGCTCCGAGTGGTACGCGCCCCCCGGTGCAGACACGGAACTGGCGCGCGCTCGCAGCGGCGCTGGCGCCGGCGAGCTTCCGACGCTCAGCTGCTGGGGTCCGTCTGGCTGGGCCTGGCCGGTTCCCCAAGGCTCGGGAGGTAGGAAGGTCAGGCCACTGGGGGTCCTGGAAGGGTTTGGGACGGGGCTCCCCGGGGGGAACGGGCTTTGAGAGGAAACGGGGGCTCTAGGGGGAAGCCGCCTCTGAAGAGGCCCTAAAGAGTGTGGGGAGGGGGCACGGGGTCTGGAGGGGAAGCGGGGCGGTCCGTAGGGAAGGGGAAGGGGCTAGAAGTGAGGGCGCTCGGAGCCGCCGAAGAGGTGCGGGCTGCCGGACTGGGCTCAGCTCACGGCGGCTAGGCTCGGTTCCTGCCGGGCTGGCGGGTGGCGCTGGTTCGGGGCGTGGGCGGGGGAGAACTGTCCAGCAGGTGAGGGGGCGGGCAGAGCTGTCTTGCTGGGGACCGAGCCGGGATAAGCACCTGGCGCGCGCGGGTGCGCGCGCGCGCCTGAGTGTGCACCTTGTATTTGATCACGGTTTGGAGATCATGTTTGGTTTTTTTTGAAAAAGAAAAAAATTGTTTTTGGTGTTTCAAAACAGGCTTTTTGGAGAGTCGAGATACCATTTCATCTTTCCTGCAACTGCTTCCCTCCCCATCCTCGTGCATCTCTAAATTGTTCCTCTTCCTGTCCTCCCCTCTTCTCCAACCCTGCCAATTGCTTGCCTCATTGCTCTCATTCTCCCCGACGCTGACCGGTCTCTCCTGATGCGCTTGCAAGGTCACTGCCTGGGTAGGAGGGGAGAGAGTCTTCTGTTGTGCTCACGTCAGCAAATATGTCATCTCGCTCTCCGGTTCCTGTGGTTTTACTATGACATTCTGTCCCCCAAACGAAGGACTAATCCAAAGCGTTGCTAAACGTGGCCATTTGTAGGCTGAAAAGACATAGAGAACTTAAAGGTCTGTGGATTCTAAATCTGCGTCTGGATGGAGTGGATGAGGAAGCAGATAGGTATGCGTTTTGAGCTTGATGGGGAATATAGGAGCTGAGAACCAGGGACTCCCGATTAGTAAACATGGTTGAAGCAAAAGGCAGAGTCTGAGTCTGGGTTGATATGAAGACAGGATGTGAGTTATAGGTGATGCTAGTCTTTCTGGGGAGGGGAGAGAATGTGGAGAAAAGCCTATCTCTACAATCTGAATAACCGGAGGTGGTGGCTGTTGATGAGGTATGAAGTGTGGCTAAAAATCTATCCTATCATTAGTTCTGGAACAGTCACAGGATCTCAGGGTCCTTGTGGTTCTGGAGGGAGATGAACATGGTAGAGCATGGTAATGACTTGAGTTTTAGCAAATGATTCTCAGTGGCAGGGCTGAGATCCCATCAAGGCTAGAGGTCTGATGCCCTAATAATATATTAATAGAAGATACTTCAGGTGTGATTGTTGAGATTTTGGCAGGAAAGGGCTCTTGGTTTTCAGTATAAACATAGATTTCAAGTCTTAGCCTTGAGCTCTGGCCCTGTAAATTCTGTTTTAAGATACATTGGCTCTCACCCTAAGCATTTTCCGTATAATTAAAGAAGTATGCTTTTTTACCCATGTCCCTTTTCATTTCTCTATTTCCCTCCCCTTCTTACTCTGGTTGGGAGGACCGGAGATCAACTTTATAACAGTGCCCCACCTTCTGCAGTTTGCTCATGATTCCATGGCACTGGAGAGAACCAAAGGCCTTTTGGGGTGGTAGTAGTACCTAGAAATGAGTATATGGCATGCATGGAAACTTGGTTTTGGTTGCATGGAAAGAAGATATCTCTCTCAAAATCCAGAACTAGAACAGAGTATAAACTAAAAATAGATGGGGGAGAAGATAACCTAATAATTAGCCGGTGCTGCCAGTGGAAGAGGTGTCTCTAGATTCAAGGAGAATGAATTGTTATGGCCCTGGCCGACTCTGGAGTAGCAGCTGCTGGCACTGTGCGGTCACCAAGCAGGGGAGGGGCCGTGGCTATGCTATAAATAGTCCTGGGCGCCACAGTCGCTATGGAGACAATACCAAATCCTATTACCTGCAGGTCCTCTATTGGGAGCAAGAGAAGGGAGGGAGCAGTATTTTGAGGATTCGAGAGTATTGCAAAGCAGTCTATGTATTATTAAGGAGAGAAGAAGAAAGATAGAACTTCTCATTATCTAAATCAAATAGAACCTTAAGCACACAGGGATTATGCATGTCTGGGTGTGGGAGTGCACGCCGCAGCAGAGAAGGGAGTGACGTGTGTGTATGTAGTGTAATGGGAATATCTGTGTGTATAGCGAAGGAGGTCTTAGTGTGACCATGTGTGGAGTACAGAGGTAGAATCCACTACGCACTGAAGATAGCCTTGTAGTGGAGTGAAACATTTTACTTAGAGAAGAGTATGAAGACCCAACAGGACTTAAATTATAATTAAGACCACGTAAGCTTTTCCTACTTTTTGGACTATGGTTTAGAAATTCCTCTGAGCGCCTCTCCCTGTCCTTGCAGAAATTCTGTTATTTCTGCATCTAATTCTTAATTTGTGTAAGAGGTACAAGAAGGACAAAGTCTCATCTGTGTGTATTGTATCACTGATTCCAGTCCTAGAACAGAGGAGAAAGACTATGATTCAGCACCAAGGGCAGAGCTAGTGGCGGTAGCCAGTGGGCCCCTTTCTTGCTTGAAGAGGGAAGAAAAAAATGGTTTAGACGAAGCAATTGGGGCATAGATATTCTTCATCTGAGAGTGCACAGGGTAGAGTAGCCCGCCGTTATTGTCTGAGCGCATGAAGTATACAGTTTTTATGGTAGTTTCACATGAAGCTGAATGCAGAATGTTGAAACAGAAAATAATTAGGTTTTCATCTAGGGGTAGGAGTACAGATTAGTGCTGATTAGAGTCTGGTTTGATCCTGATCCACCCTGAAGCTGTCCTTAAAGTGACTTAGTTTTTGTTATTATAATGACTGAGTCCAGGTGAGACTAACTGGGTCTGTTTTTTCAGAAACAGAGCACCCAGAGTGAGGCTGGAAATGGGCTGCTTTGTAGGGATGGGGGAGGTGAGCCATTATGTATCCTACTTCTTGATATTTGGCTCTGTGATTTCATAAGCCTAGACCAAGCTCTGGGCTAGGAAAAGTGTCATGTTCTCCCATCGTCAGGACTACGACAGAAGCCCAGCCGACCTCTGACCCTGGCTGGAATAAAGCTGAGGGGGATGAGTCCCTTGGGCACAGCAGTGGATTTTATCAGTACTTTTTTCCTATTGGACTTGAATTTTCAGATAACATCAGAATTTCTCCTGGGAACACTGACTCCTTGTGTGGTGCCTTGAAGTTTCTCTGAAATGAACTGATGAATTGGAACCATGGTGCAAAAGAAGAAGCTCTGTCCTCGGTTACTTGATTATCTGGTGATCGTAGGGGCCAGGTAACCAAGAAGAGCCTGGTTTTTGTCTTGTCATTTGCGATAACCACGACGTGTGTCATTATCCCCTTGCCAACAGCCACATCGTTCTGCATATCTCACTCTTCCCCTGTTATTACCTACATACTACCCCCTGTTAGTAATTCTTTAGCTAATACACCCTTAAAAGTGCTAATCATCTTAAGGTCTTAGTAATAATTCTATTGCTGCAATTTTCCTTGCATTTCAAGACAGGTATCTTCATGACAGTACAGATCTCATTCAGCCTGCCAGCTAAGTGCTGCAAGCCGCACCCATGTTTTCCAAGGTCATGCAGTTAGGTTACTTTATCCAAAATGGCATTTTGAGCTTTATTTCTGGACCGCGGTTGACATCTGAGACGGCATCCTATCCCTTCAGGTTGCTGAACTTGTCTTTATGTTCCTCAGGCACCCAAGCAGTGATAGTGTGGCCCAGACTCCTGAATTACTGCGGCGATACCCACTGGAGGACCATGCCGAGTTCCCCCTGCCCCCAGACGTAGTGTTCTTCTGCCAGCCCGAGGGCTGTCTGAGTGTGCGGCAGCGGCGCATGAGCTTGCGGGATGACACGTCTTTTGTCTTCACCCTCACTGACAAGGACACTGGAGTCACCCGTTATGGCATCTGTGTTAACTTCTACCGCTCCTTCCAGAAGCGTATGCCTAAGGAAAAGGGGGAAGGTGGGGCAGGGTCCCGTGGGAAGGAAGGACCCCGTGCCACCTGTGCCTCAGAAGAGGTTGGCACTGAGACCTCAGAGAGTGGCTCATCCCTGCAGCCCCCCAATGCTGACGCCGCCCCCGATGTCAGTCAGTCTCCTCGGGGCAAACCCCGGGCTAAGGCAGGGGGCCGTTCCCGCAATAGTACTCTGACATCCCTGTGTGTGCTCAGCCACTATCCCTTCTTCTCCACCTTCCGAGAATGTCTGTACACCCTCAAACGTCTGGTGGACTGCTGCAGTGAGCGGCTGCTGGGCAAGAAACTGGGCATCCCTCGAGGCATACAAAGGTACGGTTTGCCGCTGACACTCAGGAGAGAGGGAAGCAGTTAGAGATGAGATGTAACTGGTCTGTGAGGGGCGGGAAGTTTCCTCTGAAGCCTGAGGGCCTTCGTATATCTAGAAGGAAGTGTTGTCTTAGATCCTGTTGTACATTTAAGAATAAACTTTTGTAAAAAAAAAAAATCATTAAAAAAATAGCCTGAGGCCCTTCATCCACCTATTTAAGCATATATTAGTCCTTCCTAAGGGAAAGACTGCTGCAGAGTTAGACTTTCTAACGTAATAATATTTGGAGTTTGCTGTTTCATGGCAGGCAGGAATCTAAGTCCTGCTATGTACACGTTTTTACGTTTGTTCTCACTCTTGTATATACCCTCTGGTCCCAGCTGAGCCCAAAGAGTGGGCTTTTCCAGTTGTTATCATTTTTACCATATGGTTACTGTATTGTATTGCAGTGGGGTATGAGCTCTTGGTGCTTATGTGTCTGTTTCCCGCTCTCTGCTCCTCAGGGACACTATGTGGCGCATCTTTACCGGATCGTTGCTAGTGGAGGAGAAGTCAAGTGCCCTTCTGCATGACCTTCGAGAAATTGAGGCCTGGATCTATCGATTGCTGCGCTCCCCAGTACCCGTCTCTGGGCAGAAGCGAGTAGACATTGAGGTCCTACCCCAGGAGCTCCAACAAGCTCTGACCTTTGCTCTTCCAGACCCTTCTCGATTCACCCTAGTGGATTTCCCACTGCACCTTCCCTTGGAACTTCTGGGTGTGGATGCCTGTCTTCAGGTGCTAACCTGCATCCTGTTAGAGCACAAGGTGAGAGAGCCAGCTTTCTAGACCTTTAAGGACAGGGCCTACATCTTTTTCATCTTTTTGTCCCTAGGAGGTAACATGATGCCAGGTATACAGCAGGTACTCTGTAGGTGTGGGTTGAATTGAGGTACTCTCAGTAGCATGTATTCAGAGGGTTTGCTGCTCAGTTGAGTTATCTTTAACTAGACTGACCTAATTCTCTGAAAATATCAGTAGCTCTATTCCAGTGGGTGGTCCTGGAATTGGGAGAACAAGAACCAGGAAGGGAAGGCATGGGGCAGAGATCACTGTGGAAGCTATGCTCGCGGAGCCCTAGGGCGTGGTGAAATGGAAATGAAGTTGCAGCGCTGGAAACTGTTTTCTCATCCACCTTATTTATGCTGTTGAATGACCCTGTGGTACGGCTTGCGGCAGGTGGTGCTACAGTCCCGAGACTACAATGCCCTCTCCATGTCTGTGATGGCATTTGTGGCGATGATCTACCCACTGGAGTATATGTTTCCTGTAATCCCACTGCTGCCCACCTGCATGGCATCAGCAGAACAGGTGAGTTTCAGGTGCTTTCTGGCTTTGTCACCTCTGTCTTCCAGCTCTGTCCAGCTCTGAGGGAGAATGATCGATAGCAAGAAGTTGTAAATCAGTACTTGTCTTCAATCCCTTATTATAACTTATTTGTCTGTAAAACATGACCTAACTTGAACTGATTTGATGGCAAAACCTATGTTATTTATGGTTTTTACTTTCAAAGTAAATGTTGGGGCGCCTGGGTGGCTCAGTCGGTTAAGCGTCTGCCTTCGGCTCGGGTCATGATCCCAGGATCCTGGGATCGAGCCCTGCATCGGGCTCCCTGCTCAGCAGAGAGCCTGCTTCTCCCTTTCCCTCTGCCTGCCGCTCTGCCTACTTGTGCTGTCTCTCTGTCAAATAAATAAATTAAAAAAAAATCTTAAAAAAAAAAAAAAAGAAAAAAGAAGAATATACATTGTTACCATTCTAAAATCTGAAAAATTGTGAATGCTGAAACACACCTACCCTCAAGAGTTTTGGAAAAGAGATTGTGGACCTGCATTTCCTTATCTGAAAAGATCCTGATTCTTTAAGTGATCAGAATAGGTTTAGTTTTTGTTTCTTACCCTCTTTTCTTTCCACAGCTGCTGTTGGCTCCAACTCCGTACATCATTGGGGTCCCTGCTAGCTTCTTCCTCTACAAACTGGACTTCCGAATGCCCGATGATGCCTGGCTGGTGGATCTGGACAGCAATAGAGTGAGGCTCTTGGCTGAGGGACTGTAGAGTCTAATAGGATTTCTTTGTCTAGTGTTTTCTTTTTCTAGATTATTCCCAGGAAGGTCCTCAGTTAGGTGATTTCTCTTGTGTGACTCATTGAAACAATTTTTTTAAATGCTTAGCTTTTACTTTATTGGCTTAATAGTCCCTTGGTTAGGGCTCAAAGGAGGGTAAGATTCAGTTTTGCCAGAATGAAGTGCTGCCTTGCCTCTAGGAGCAGTAGGGCAGTCGTGATTGTGGGAACACTACACACAGTATAGCTCACCTGATGGTTTTCCTGGGGTGTGGTTTCTAGTAAGAAAGTGTCTTTCAGTGCAGACTTAAAATGTATATTAATATTCTGTGGCGTGAATACATTCAAACTTCAGCAGGAACCCTTATATGTGTTCATTGTAAAACTTTAAAAATACAAATAAGTGTAAAGAAATAAAACCACAGTCCTATCACGTAGAGATAGTCACCAGTAACATTGAGGTGTATTTCTTTTTAGGTGTGTATGTGCATATTTTATACATACGTGTATATACGTAATATATGTGCTCACATATAGGTGAAAATATTGCCTATACAACTTACTATTTTTGTTACTTACTCTATGTAAGAGTAACTCCTGAGCAATTAATTCTAAGCTCATGCCTTTTATCTTTTTCCTGGTGCAGGTGATTGCTCCCACCAATGCAGAAGTGCTCCCAACCCTGCCAGAACCGGAATCCTTAGAGCTGAAAAAGCATTTGAAGCAGGTGGGTGAAGAGTGACGAAAAGGAAGGGAGCAGTGGCTACTCTAGGTCGGCCATAGGCTGTAGCTGTCGTAAGAGCCACTTTCCTTTCAGACGTCAATGGAATAGATTTTCTTAGCTAAGAAGAGGTGTGTCCCATTTCTGGGTGTCAGGATGAATCTCAAAAAGGGCTTTTATTTACTTATTTTTTTTTAAGATTTATTTAGTTTTAAGAAAGCACGTGGGGAGAGGGAGGGGCACAGGGAGAGAATCTCAAGCAGGCTTCCCACTGAGCATGGAGCCCAACATGGGGCTGGAGCCCACTACCTTGAGATCATGACCTGAGCCGAAACTAAGAGTCGGACATTCAACCGACCGAGCCACCCAGGCTCCCCTCATGTCTACCATTCTTTATGGCCTTAGAGCATTCTGTCAGTCTTGTAAGGAAGGAGCTAGTCATTTGGACAATCTGACTCCTTTTATATTTTCCTCTTGAATTGATTTCTAGGTCCCTGTAGAATGCTTTCTTCAAAAATTCCTCTCTTTGGGGCGCCTGGTGGCTCAGTCGTTAAGTGTCTGCCTTCAGCTCAGGTCATGGTCCCAGGGTCCTGGGATCGAGCCCCGCATCGGGCTCCCTGCTCTGCGGGAAGCCTGCTTCTCCCTCTCCCACTCCCTCTGCTTGTGTTCCCTCTCTCGCTGTCTCTCGCTCTGTCAAATAAATACAATCTTTAAAAAAAAAAAATTCCTCTCTTTGAGTAATCCTTTAAATACATTTTTCATTGATTGATTTTCTTCCTCTTCTGCATGCTGAACACAGTACCTGAAGGTAAAATACGATAGGGTCCTATTCCTTCGCCCTTTTGTGTGTGTTATGTAGGACCACCAGTAGATGACTCCGTATTTTTTTATAGGAATCCTTGTTCTCATCTGAAGGGTTTTCAGGAATCTCCGTGTTGTCTTTGTTGCTCAGCGGTACCTCTAGATCTCTGTTTGGGTTTAACTGGGCCATTCTGTAGCATCCCTCTCCCTCTCACTTGCTTCATCCCTGCTGATGTAATATGGTGTCTTGTTACTGCAGAGACTGGTGAGGATTGCAAGTTGAGAAAGTTCTCTGCCTGCCTTTTCTGTGTTTTCATTCTTGATGATTGCTTTCGTATGACTAATGAGATGGAGAGTTTGATATGTAGAATTGTACTTTACATGTTTATAGGAGTTAAGAATCCCTGGGCTCATTAATCCTGTATTCTTACCTCTGCTACTTGAAGTGTGATTCATGGACCAGCAGCATTACCATTGCCTGAGGTTGTTAAAAGTGCAGGATCACCCCAGATATATTGAACCAGAATCTGCATTTTAACAACAATCCCAGGTGACTCCTCTGCTCATTAATATTTAAGAAGCACTGCTGGTCTAGACCAGTGGTTTTCAAACTGCCCCAAGGAGCCTCTGAGGGGCTGATTTAGGCTGGGAACACTGAACATGTGAGGTTCTGGGTTCCTTATGTCCTTCAGAGAAGCTTTACTTTTAAGTGTTTCAGTTGTTTATATTTTCATATAGATTTCAACTGAAACAACATTTCATGGCTAAAATAAATTTGAAAACTATTGCCCTGGGTTCCAGATTTGATCAAGTTGCCTTGAGCTAGGTTGGCTTAAACTGAAAGGCTATATAATTCAGATTATCTTCTAAAGGTTAAAGTATTTGGATTCTTATGTCAAAGGCTCTTTCCTAGGAGATGAGATTGACCAGCTGCCCAGGAATCTGCATTCCATAGGGGATTTCTTGTTGTTCCACAGGCCCTTGCCAGCATGAGTCTCAACACCCAGCCCATCCTCAATCTGGAGAAATTCCATGAAGGCCAGGAGATCCCCCTTCTCTTGGGAAGACCTTCTAACGACCTGCAGTCCACACCTTCCACTGAATTCAACCCACTCATCTATGGCAATGATGTGGATTCTGTGGATGTTGCAACCAGGTACGACCACCATGACTGGATAATCACGAGCTCTTAAACTGGGTTCTGCTCTCTCAGTAGTTGCATTTGCCACCTTGGTAAAAGCAAAGAGAAGAACTAGTTCCTCATACTCTCAGGCCTTTTAGACCTCGAGTGAAGAAAGAGATTGATGATTGTTTAAGATTCCTCTCCCTTGGATGTTGGAAGCCTCTGAAGTGATGGCTTGGGGAGGTGGTCTGAGACCTTGGATTGCAGCAGTCCTTACAGTGCAGGGTGTGGGACTCGGATTATCTCACCATCCCCTTTGTCCCCAGAGTGGCCATGGTCCGTTTCTTCAACTCCCCCAACGTGCTGCAGGGCTTTCAGATGCACACACGTACCCTGCGTCTCTTCCCTCGGCCTGTGGTAGCTTTTCAAGCTGGCTCCTTTCTAGCCTCACGTCCCCGGCAGACTCCTTTTGCTGAGAAGCTGGCCAGGACTCAGGCTGTGGAGTACTTTGGAGAATGGATCCTTAACCCCACCAACTATGCCTTCCAGCGAATTCACAACAGTGAGTGCACCTGCCCTCTGCTCTGCCCTGCCCCCTGCTCTGCCCTGCCCCACCTTCTGCCTTTGTCCCCTGATGGCTCTTCCCTTTGCCTTTGCCTTTTCTCATCTTTGACCTGCCCCTTCCATTCCTATTTCGCTTTAGACTTTTTCCTATCTTTCTTTTATGTTCCGCTTGTTTTTTTTCTCCTTGTTGCTAACTGTTCTTTCTTCTCTTTGGGTAGACATGTTTGATCCAGCCCTGATTGGTGACAAGCCAAAGTGGTATGCTCATCAGCTGCAGCCTATCCATTATCGAGTCTACGATAGCAATTCCCAGCTGGCTGAGGCACTGAGTGTGCCCCCAGAGCACGACTCTGACTCGGACCCCACTGATGACAGGTGAGCAGCAAAACCGCTTTTTAAGGTAAAAAGGCTGTCACTAGCCCTTATTGAGCACAGTGGCGAAGTCTCATAGGACTTAGACGTTAGTTAGTCTTTGAAGCCTTGGTTATATTTTGGCTGATTGTTTTGTGTTAGCTTACTTATTTTATCTTGTTCCCTGGCCTTGATTAAAGAGTGCACCTCTTTTTTTTTTTTTTAAGTTTTTTTTTAAAGACTTCTTTATTTGAGAGAGAGAGAGAAAGAGCACACGGAGGAGTGGAGGGCGAGGGAGAGAAGCAGACTCTGCTGAGCGCAGAGCCCGACGTGGGGCTCGATCCCCCAACCCTGAAATCATGACCTGAGTCAAAATCAGGAGTCGGATACTTAACCAACTGAGCCACCCAGGCGCCCCCCCCTTTTTTTAAGTTTTTAATTTTAATTCCAGTGTAGTTAGCATACAGCGTTATATTAGTCTCAGGCGTACAATACAGTGATTTAGCAATTCTACACATTAGTCAGTGTTTATCGTGATAAACGTACTCTTTAATCCCCATTACCTATTTCACTCCCCACCCTCCTCCTCTCTGGTAGCCATCAGCTTGTTCTGTATTGTTAAGAGTTTCTTGGGGTGCCTGGGTGGCTCAGTTGGTTAAGCGACTGCCTTCGGCTCAGGTCATGATCCTGGAGTCCCAGGATGAGTCCCGCATCAGGCTCCCTGCTCGGCAGGGAGTCTGCTTCTCCCTCTGACCCTCCCCCCTCTCATGTGCTCTCTCTCATTCTCTTTCTCTCAAATAAATAAATAAAATCTTTAAAAAAAAAGAAGAGTTTCTTTCTTGGTTTGTCTTTTTTTTTTTTTTCCTTTGTTCAATTGTTTTGTTTCTTAAATTCTGCATATGGGTGAAATCATATGGTATTTATCTTTCCCTGACCTGTTTCACTTAGTATTATACTCTGGCTCCAACCACGTTGTTGTAGATGGCGAGATTTCATTCTTTTTTATGGCTGAGTAATATTCCTGTGTGTGTGTGTGTGTGTGTGTGTATGAGAGTCCTTCCTTTTTTATTTTTCCTACTGCTGATCGCTGATTCCTTTCCCTGCCCCTTTCTTCCATTCTATTTTTATTTTTGTTTTTATTTTTGTGCTCTTCGCTCTGCAGTGGCAGTGACAGTATGGATTATGATGACTCAAGCTCTTCTTACTCCTCTCTTGGCGACTTTGTCAGTGAAATGATGAAATGTGGCATCGATGGTGACACCCCCAGTAAGTGTACTTGGGGGGATTGGCCACTCTGGGCAGGGTTTGGGGCTCTGGGGCCGTGTGGTCTGTACCTGCCACCTGGGGTTTTGGCAGGTGTGGATCCACTGACACACGCAGCCCTGGGGGATGCCAGTGAGGTGGAGATTGATGAGCTGCAGAGCCAGAAGGAATCAGAGGAGCCGGGCCCAGACAGCGAACACCCTCAGGAGAGCCCGCCTCTGCGCTCCAGCTCCAGTACCACCACTGGCAGTAGCCCCAGCATGGTCATCCATGGAGCTACTTCTGTACGTGAGGGCTTGGAAGGATGGACAAGGGTGGGATGTGGGCCATGCTTCCCTTAGAAAGTCAAGGCTGAAGCTGTTAATTTGCCTCTTCACATTCTTCCTGTCTTCGTCGCCATAGGTCTCCCAGCTTAGAGCCTAGGGGACACAGTTTTGACCCCAGAAAGAACTCATCGGGCTTTGTTCAGGGCTTAGCTAAGATCCCCCTTGCATAGTTTGTGGGCACAGAGAACAGGGGTGTCACAGAGATCTTTTCTCCCACATTCCCTTGGGATAGGAGATGGGAACTTGATAGGCCTGGCTTGGCCCTGCTAAACTGAGAATACAGGAAAGTATCACTGGGCACCGGGTGACCAATTTTTATTTAATGTGGCCTTTAGGAACCTGCCGACTCAACAGGGGTGGACGATAAGGCAGCAGGAGGTGTCTCCAAGCCCCTCCCTCCCGTGCCTCCCAGCACTGGCAAATCGAACGCAGACAGGCGCCAGACAGAAATTGGAGAGGGGTCAGTGCGCCGGCGAACCTATGACAATCCATACTTCGAGCCCCAGTATGGCCTTCCCCCTGAGGAAGATGATGATGAACAGGGGGAAAGTTACACTCCCCGATTCAGCCAACATGTCAATGGCAGTCGGTGAGAGCCTGGGGACTCCTTCTAGATGGGTGACTCAAGGACCCCACTACAGTGGACCCTGGGTGAGGGTTAATCAGAAAGTTGGAGATGTCCGAATGCTCTGGTGGCCCGCCATCCCAAGGTGGTGCTTCGATCTAGACATAGAAGTTGCGGGAAGGGAGCTGCGACAGCAGTGTAGCGTCAGGCCCACACTCCCAAGACTAGGTACCCCTGCCTGGGGCTCATAGGTGCCACTGTGCATTCAAGGGCTCAAAAGCTGCTGCGGCCCAACAGCTTGAAACTGGCAAGCGACTCAGACGCAGAGTCAGACTCTCGAGCGAGCTCACCCACCTCCACCGTCTCCAACAACAGCACCGAGGGCTTCGGGGGCATCATGTCTTTTGCCAGTAAGTGCCTTTAGCTCTCCTGCCTCTGTCGCATTTTCTCTGCAGTAGGGCCTGGCCACGGTGGATGCTGCTTAGAACTTGAGATGTAGGGCTGGATTGGTGTTACCGAGCCCCAGTCCAGGTTGTTTGGGTGACAGTGAATAAAGTATTTTCATGGGTAAAGGACAGGCACAGATTAGTCTCTATCTTTATCCCCAGAGGTTTCAGTCTGTCTCAGGTAAGATAGCTGGTCGACTGAGAAAGAGTCATTGTATTGAACGTCATATGTTTTGTGGAAATAAAGTGGTCAAATTTGATTTGGGTTCTGTATCTAATACCTTCTTTGCCTGGTGGAGGACTTTCTCGTGAACACACTTTGAAATCTACATGAGGTTGACTTTTGTGCCTAGAGAATATTTCCAGAAATGAGGGGTGGTGTCAGTCAAAAATTGAGGACAGACCAGGGACCAGATAATTATGATTGTGAGTTTTTTCAGAAGCCAGGTAGGGACAGCACCAACTTCTGACCAAAAGTGCATTAACTGTCAGCTTTCCTGCTGAGTTAGCAGTTGATGAGAGACTCGGCTATTACCAGGGGAGGTGGTCAGAGAAAGTTGTTACTGGGTTTTGAGCCATCCTGGCAGTTGCCCTAAATTATAGACTTGGTCCTTTCTATGGTAGATCAGAGGTACTGGGATTATGTTTGAAAAGGAGGAAGATGGAGATGATGGTACAGTCATCAGCTTTGATTCCTTATGCTCCTAACTGCTCGCTCTCCCACCCTCCCCTTGACAGGCAGCCTATATCGGAACCACAGTACAAGCTTCAGTCTTTCAAACCTCACACTGCCCACCAAAAGTGCCCGAGAGAAGACCACACCCTTCCCCAGTCTGAAAGGTAACTACAACCCTCCTTCCGCCGAACCAGGATTCTCCGGGAGCTATTTCAGGCCTCTGGGTGCTTGTCAGGAGCCCTGTTGTGATGACTCATTTGATCTGGCTGTGGCCCCTCATACCGCTTCTCATGGCTTTCATTGCACATGATGGGCTCTGACTGGTTTTCAGATGGAAACGATCTTCGTAGCTGAAGGGAAGGCCCTGTTATGTCATTTAGGATAAGAGCAACTGTGAGATTACTGCTGCTTCTGGGGGGATCCATAATTAACACAGGGGTCATCAGCTGCCACCAGTCATCTGCCGGGTTCCTACTGCATGAACAGAGGAGGAACTCCATCCCAGGGAGCTGGCCTGCTGGGGGTGGTTGCGAGAGCCTGGCGGTGTTCATAGAGCCAAGAAGCCTCTTACTTTGGCTTCATGTTGATGGGCCCTGTGGGTGGGCCAGATAGTATTTGGTTGGCTTCTAAGAGCAGCTAAGACCTTATTTGATTTTCGTTTGTGATCTCGGAGCGTCTGAAGGGCTCTTTAGAATTTACTCTATTGACATTTGTTTTCTCTAGCTATTGTGCTGAAATATTTAATTACAATAGAAAGCATAGTGAGAAGCAGCTCTGTATATATTTTAACTGACTTCTCTTCTCAGTGCTTAAAAACTTCAGGAATCAAAGGAGTGTTCTCTGGTGGGGATGGGAACATAGGGTGGGTAGGCAGAGGGACATAATAGCTAGAGGTGTAGGGCACAAATTCACACACGACTCAGTAGCTTAGGGGTGGAAAAGTGTTAGCATCCCTGGCTTTGATGCAGTTGGGGAGGAAAGCAGTTGAAATGCCTTCATCGCATGCTGATGCTTCACTTCATTTATTGTCCTTCTTGCTCCCATCTGCCTCCCATCCTCACACCCCCGCCCCACTTCCCATGACAGCATCTGCAAGATGGGTCTCCTCTCCCTGCATACCCGGCAGGCCCTCTGGACCCCTGTGCTAGATGTCTCATGAAAACCAGCAGTCCCTCTTTCATGCATGTGCCTGTGTAGTACCTGAAGGTCCCTCATGTCATTTACCCTGCCCCTGGCTTTTAGAGACCATAGTCTTAAGGATGGTCTTTCCTAGAGCCTTGGTGGTTTCCTGATCTCTTGGCTTCCAGCTCTGAGGTGCCTGAGAACTAAGGTCATGTGCACTAAGCTTTGGGAGAATCCTCAGATTGTCTGACTTACAGCTCCGTTGAGGGGAACAGGGGTTGTGGTATCATGGTGCACCTACTAATTGTGTATTTTGTGTCCCAGTATTTGGGCTAAATACTCTAATGGAGATTGTTACTGAAGCCGGCCCCGGGAGTGGTGAAGGTGGGTCTTACCCGTGAGCTGTGCATGATCTTTTTTTCCTAGCATCTTCCGTGCCTGCCTGAGGGCCGTCCTCCTCATGGGGCAAGCAGTATCACATGAGTGACCTGCCTTGCCCCGTCCCCCGTGACGCCCGTGCTTGCCCATGGGCGTGCTGCTGGTGCATGTGGAGTGGCCTGAGTCTCCATCCCCACCTCCTCCACGTTGCCATGGCTGGTTTCTACCTATGTGTGATACCCCGGGGCCACCCTCACCCAGCCCTTCTGGGGAATGGGTGTGGAACATGGCTCCCCAGGGCGGTGCTGACACAGGGCTACTCTCATTCCTACCTTCCTGGCTATAGGAAACAGGAGGGCCTTAGTGGACCAGAAGTCGTCTGTTATTAAACACAGCCCAACAGTGAAAAGAGAGCCTCCATCACCTCAGGGTCGATCCAGCAATTCTAGGTAACAAATGGCTGGGCTATTTTGGAAGTTCTGTGCTAGAGGTTGCGATTCCTGTACCACTTCAGGGATGCTCAGGAGTGGGAGAGCACCTCTCAGTTGGGTAGATGAAATCAGTTCTTGCGCGCACTGCCCATTCTGACTGAATCCCCACGTGACGGTAGTAGCCCACACCAGCGAGGAGAATGAAACCACAGTGCTGGGTACGCGGGGTGGGGGTGTGGGCAGGGGGTGCAGGGGACTTGGACGCCTAGAGACATGGCTTTGTGTCTCGCCCCTGGAGGCAAGCATCTAGTCTGGTAAGTAGGGGGAGTGCTCTGCACAGAAGCTGATGACCACAGAAGTGGTGTGTGGACCCCATAGTGAGAACCAGCAGTTCCTGAAGGAGGTGGTCCACAGCGTGCTGGATGGCCAGGGCGTTGGCTGGCTCAACATGAAGAAGGTGCGTCGGCTACTGGAGAGTGAGCAACTGCGAGTCTTTGTCCTGAGCAAGCTGAACCGCACAGTGCAGTCAGAGGATGATGCCCGGCAGGATGCCATCCCCGACGTGGTCAGTGTCTGGGGTGGGGAGCTGGAATCAGCTGGAAGAGGGACCTGGACACCAAAGGCAGTTTTGCCAACTCTCACCCCTGGCTTGTTGTTGCAGGAGATCAGTCGAAAGGTGTACAAGGGAATGTTAGACCTGCTCAAGTGCACGGTACTCAGCCTGGAGCAGTCCTATGCCCACGCAGGTCTGGGTGGCATGGCCAGCATCTTTGGGCTTCTGGAGATTGCCCAGACCCACTACTATAGTAAAGGTAGGATCACACTGGCTGGGCCAGCGCCGTCCACAACTCTCTCACTGATCTCCAACGAAAGGGAACTTGTGTTTTGTTTTGTTTTTTTTTTTAAGATTTTTGTTTATTTATTTTGTCAGAGAGAGAGAGAGAGCACAGTAGGGGGAGTGGCAGGCATAGGGAGAATGCAGATTCCCCGCTGAGCAGGGAACCCGATGTGGGACTCGATCCCAGGACGCTGGAATCATGACCTGAGCCGAAGGCAGACACTTAACGACTGAGCCACCCAGGTGCCCCTAGGGAACTTGTTCTTTTACAAGTTTCCTGGGGCCAGGCTACTTCCCGTCAGGCTTCGGGATTTTATTTTTTAATGCATGTTTGTCTGTACTGGGTATTTTTCTGTCACGAAAAAGATGTCCGCTTTTCTTTCCTTGCACTTCTTCCATTCTCCATCCTCCTGCAGCCTTGCTTCTCCCGCCTCACTCCCATAGCTCGATTCCCACCTACTGTTTCTTTTGACCTCTTTCTCTATTCGATCTTTTCCTAGAACCAGACAAGCGGAAGAGAAGTCCAACAGAGAGTGTAAATACCCCAGTTGGCAAGGATCCTGGCCTGGCTGGGCGGGGGGACCCAAAGGCTACGGCACAGCTGAGAGTTCCGCAGCTGGGACCTCGGGCGCCAAGTGCTGCAGGAAAGGGTCCTAAAGAACTGGACACCAGAAGTTTAAAGGAAGAGAACTTTGTAGCATCTGTTGGTATGTATCACTGTGTTTGGTGTGGTGGAGAGAGGGTTCTGGCTTCTTAAATACCTCTCCCTCCTTTCAATTCATCCAGAATCCTGCCTTTCTTTTCCCCCATGCTTTGCTTTCTAGAGAGGGAGATAGGTCTGCATCCATTTCTGATGGTATTTCTTTGTACTTTTTTATCCCTTATGCTTTCTTTATAGGCACCCCCACCTACGTCTTAGGGGAAGAAGGGAAGTTTTGCTTAGAAGGCTCAGTGAGGTTTAGTGCAGGGAGTCTGAGTTCTATTCCTGGTCCCTCTTTTTATTTACATCTGAATTTCTTCACACAGTGGAGAGCCATGTGAGCTCCTGGAAGCTGTAAGAAAGTTTATAGATGCACCTTTGGTCTATAAAATTATGATCGTCTGGGCCGGTTTACCCCCATCCAACCATGACACTACCCTCAAATTTGCTTCTCTGGGGGGTGTCCAGCAACCTCATTTCCCTGGGCCCTAGGCCTCAAGGTATAGATTTCTGAATCAGCTTTTCTTTAAACCTTTCCTTCCTGGACTTGATTAAGAGCTTGTTTACGTTGAATGTTTCTCCATTCCCCCTAAGGCAGTGCCTTAGTGAGCTCTCTGGGTGACACCTCCACTTGACCCCCTCTGTACTTGACCTTGGGTCATCTAGGTTGTGCCTTTCTTTGTCTGGTTCTGTTTCCGTGGGCATTATGCTTCTAATGGATGCTTCTTTGCCACACCATTAGCAGTTGTCTTGTGCTCCCATAAATGGCGATGAGGCACCAGTCCTTCGTTGGGGAGCTCCCCTTCTCTAGCCAGCAGAACAGTGTCCTAGAGGCGGTCAACCCTGCCTTTCTCCTGCCTGATGTGATGTTCTAGAAAAAGTACCCACCCGCAAGTCTGAAGGCCTGGAGTTTTCGTCCTGTATCTGCTTCCAGCTAGGAATGAGACTTTGGGCAAAGCACTTCCTCTCTCAGGGTCTCTGTCTCCTCATCTGGGAAACAAGGAGATCGGATTAAGTAGATACTCAAGTTCTTCCAGGAAAAGAATGCTATCATCGGTATTCTCTTTTCTTTACCCCAACAAATATGCTATTCTTGACCATTTCGTGTTCCGTCACCTTTACCGGAAGCATTTTTCCTGATGACTGGCTAAGAATGGGTCACTTGGCAGGGAAGACTGATTTTGGGGGTGAATTGGATTTTTTGGTAGTGGCAAGGAGGGATGCTAACTGCCTGCCTGAGTGGCCTCTGTCCAGTCCAGCAAATCAAACAGATTGGTGCTCACGCTTCCGAACCCCTTTGGCTGGTTGAGGTGATCATCTGTCTTCTCTGGAATCTTTAAAAATTGTTGTTGCCCAGCTCATTTAGCAGAGAGAGCATGGCGTGGTGGAAGTTTAAACTGGTCCTGAGTTATATGATCTCGAGCAAAGTGCTCCATCCTTGTTAGGATCAGTTTCCTCAGGCCAAAATGGAGGAGCTTGAGCGAAGGCAGCTCCATCTCTCATGTTCCGCAGGGTTTTTACTACCACTTTCAGGCTCGGGTTAGGAATTTAGAGTCTTTAGTCTGTGAGTGGGGGAGGGGGGCTTTAGCTCTCTTGATTGTTAACCCCCCAAAATGAAGATCTCTTTATCTCTTGATTTGTAATCCTGTGCCTGAGACTGAATCAGCTTGGGTGGGTGGGTTTCCATTCTGTCTGACCAGCCTCTGACTCTGTCTGTCTTTCTCTCCTGCTTACATTGCATCTGGGGTAGAATTGTGGAACAAGCACCAGGAAGTGAAAAAGCAAAAAGCTTTGGAAAAACAGAGTAAGGAACAAATGCCCCTTCCTGTTCCCAAATCTCCCATACCTGCCAACTCCCCAGGCCCAGTTGGGGCAGACTCCCTTTGTCAGCCCCACCCCAAATTTGCTCTTGGGAGGTATTTGGAATAAAAGCAGGTAGGTGGTATGTGACTCACAGGTATGTGACTTGTAGGCTGCTTCTTTCCCCCTCTCCTCCTAGCAATCAGGCGGTAATCAGGGCGTCTACTGAGTAAAGTCCCTTAGAACATGGTTCCCTATTGCTCCAGAGTTGGTGGGGAGAATGTTTGCCTATTTCAGTGCCCCTCATTGGCTGGTATCTCCCTCACCCGTTAGAAGGCCTGTGGGCACAGTTGGCAGAGATGGTTGCTGTCCCTCCGTGTTGAGTCTGAGGCTTCCCAGCTCTCTCTGGTGGCTTGCCTAGGCACGCTTTCTTGCTTTCTGTCATTCTGTCCTTCTGCCATACCATTGTGGGTGGGTGGGGTAAAAACGAGGGTGGTTTTTATCTCAAATGTAGAAAGGTGTAGGGTTGGGGTAGTCGGTGTCCACAGAAACAGCTGGTGTTTTTGTATCTCGTTGGGCCTGTCCTTTTCTAGCCCCTTTAGACACATTTGTTGGGGAATCACTGAGTGACCTGGGGACCCTCAATTGGTTTCACACTCCAGGGAAGCTCCAACTCTTGAGTATAGGGGAATGTAGTTTAGACATTTGTTTGTGGAGCTTTCTGTCTTAGAATGATTTGCTGAGAAATTTCTCAGGTTGTGAGAGAAGGCTGCAGAACCCCTTGAGACCAGGTTTAATTTGTCCTACTTGGGTCTTAAGGCATGTGGGGACTTCTTCCGGTGGCCTGATGTGGAGGCAGTCCCTGGAAAGGTGACTGGGGCTTGCTGAGGTCTGGGACTTGGCTGTGTGCTGTCCCACTCCCCTCACCAGCCTGCCCCTGGCCTTTGTGTATGGAGTGACAGAGGTTTTCCCCTACCCAGGGCCTGAAGTAATCAAACCCGTCTTTGACCTCCGTGAGACAGACGAGAAAAAGTCCCAGATCAGTGCGGACAGTGGCGTGAGCCTGACATCTGGTTCCCAGGTTTGTGACAACTTTGTTGTGAATTACAGCGTCAAAACAACATGCATGCCCAGTGATGAGAGAATGATGAAATAAGTGTAATATATGTACATAATACGATACTAGAATCTACTGAAGACTGTGTTTTTAAAAATTTAGTGACATGGGAAGATGTTTTACAAAGCTACATGCAGTATGATTCCCATTTTATTTTTAAAATGTATGTAGAAAAGACTGAAAGGAAGTATACTAAAACCTTAACAGTGATTAATGTTAGTGGTAGGTTTATGGCTTATTTTTGTTTCCGTATTCTTTCATGTATTTTCTATAGTGAGCATGTATTTCTTTAATGTTTATTGTTTTTTGTCATGCAAGTCATGTATATCTTTTTTTTTTTTTTTTTAAAGATTTTATTTATTTATTTATTTGAGACAGAGAGAGAGACAGAGAGCATGAGAGGGAGGAGGGTCAGAGGGAGAAGCAGACTCCCTGCCGAGCAGGGAGCCCGATGCGGGACTCGATCCCGGGACTCCAGGATCATGACCTGAGCCGAAGGCAGTCGCTTAACTGACTGAGCCACCCAGGCGCCCAAGTCATGTATATCTTATATTCAGGAAAAAAATAAACTTCTCATGACCTGTTTAGGGATGATAATAGTAGGTTGGGGTTGAGAAGAAGGAAGAAGATACAGTATTTCTTAGGGAAATGAGAGTAGATGGGACACCGCCTCTAATATGTCTGAGTTCCCATGTCGTTTCAGAGGACTGATCCAGACTCTGTCATTGGTGTGAGTCCAGCTGTTATGATCCGAAGCTCAAGTCAGGACTCTGAAGTTAGCACCGTGGTAGGGGAACACCACACTGGCATCTTGGGGGGTGGGGGTGTGAGTGCCCCTTTGGAAAAGGGGGCTGCTTTCTCCTTTGGAGGCTCTTAGTCTCGTGTCAGCTTGGTTCTCACGGTGGAGATGCTCACCTGGCGTAGGTCTGTGTGCGTGGGATCAGACCCTGAGATTTCACCCAGGGCTTCTCAACTTGTAAAGAAGGTACTTCCAGAGGCTACCTGACGCACCTTTGACGTTCAGTGCCCTTTTTTTTTTTGTTAATGGCAGTAGAGAGTTCTAACAGTTGGGCATTTCTGCGAACCCTTCACTGAGGACTATCCCTTACTACCTTTCTTTCCTTGCCAGGTGAGTAATAGCTCTGGAGAGACCCTTGGAGCAGACAGTGACCTGAGCAGCAATGCAGGTGATGGGCCAGGCGGTGAGGGCAGCGCCCACTTGGCAAGCTCTCGGGGCACCTTGTCCGATAGTGAGATTGAGACCAACTCTGCTACCAGCACCATCTTTGTAAGTTTGGTTTACTAACAAAAGGAGATCATTTCTCTCATGAGAGGGGAGTGGGTTAGAAAAGAATGAAACATTAGGGACAATTAGAAGGAAAAGAGGAAGTAAGGAGTGGATTATCCCCATATATTTGGCTTCAAAGAAAAATGTTTTCTAAGGCTTTTTTTAGAGTTATTTTACTCCATGACCTGGGGCTTTTAGGACCCTCCCCTGAATCACTGATGAGTCCGGCTCCCCGCCCAGTCAGATCAGGGCTTCAGATCCTGGGTAGCAGTTATCCCTGTATTTACAGTAGACAAGGTGATAGGTGTCCTTGTGGCAACGCCAGGACAACAGCGACTCTCCTTCCGTGTCAGTCTGCCTCTTGCTGGGGGATAGTTTGGTTTTATTCCAGCCACTTCCGGTGCTATATTTATATAGCACTTTTTTTGTTTTAGACATTTGTTTGACAGAGGGAGAGAGAGAGAGAGAGAACACAAGCCAAGGGAGAGGGAGAAGCAGACTCCCCTCTGAGCTGGGAGCTGGACGCGGGGCTCGATCCCAGGCCCCTGGGACCATGACCTGAGCCGAAGGCAGACGCTTAACCGACTGAGCCACCCAGGCGCCCCTATTTATATAGCACTTTAAAATAGCATTTTATTGGGAGCCTGGGTGGCTCAGTCGTTAGGCGTCTGCCTTCGGCTCAGGTCATGGTCCCAGGGTCCTGGGATCGAGCCCCGTATTGGGCTCCCTGCTCCGCAGGAAGCCTACTTCTCCCTCTCCCACTCCCCCTGCTTGTGTTTCCTCTCTCGCTGTGGCTCTCTCTCTGTCAAATAAATAAATAAAATCTTAAAAAAAAAAAAAAAAAGCCAGTGATCAGTTGGAATTAAAGTAATTCTGTTTAGTCCTTGCCTTTAGACACACTGCATTTTGGTGTATACATACCTCTTTAGGCAGCATTAAGCAGTCTGATACACTTGTCACTTTATTAGAGTTGAGAATCAATATTTTTTTTTTAAAGATTTTATTTATTTATTTATTTGAGAGAGAGAGAGAGAGAGAAACAGCATGAGAGGGGATAGGGTCAGAGGGAGAAGCAGGCTCCCCGCTGAGCCGGGAGCCCGATGTGGGACTCGATCCCAGGACTCTGGGATCATGACCTGAGCCGAAGGCAGTCGCTTAACCAACTGAGCCACCCAGGCGCCCCCCCCCCTTTTTTTTTTTTAAAGATTTTATTTATTTGACAGAGAGAGAGACACAGCGAGAGAGGGAACACAAGCAGGGGGAGTGGGAGAGGGAGAAGCAGGCTTCCCGCGGAGCAGGGAGCCCGATGCGGGGCTCGATCCCAGGATCCTGGGATCATGACCTGAGCCGAAGGCAGACGCTTAACGACTGAGCCACCCAGGCATCCCAAGAATCTGTATTCTTTTTTAAATAATTTTTTTAAAGATTCTATTTGAGCGAGAGAAAGTGAGAGAGAGAGAGCACAAGCAGGGGAAGGGAGAAGCAGACTCCCCACTGAGCAGGGAACTCCATGCAGGGCTTGATCCTAGGACCTGGAGACCATGACCTGAGCCAAAGGCAGACGCTTCACTGAGTGAGCCACCCAGGCGCCCTGAGAATGGATATTCCTTATAGGAGCTTATAAGTCTTTATCTTTGGTTTGTGGGGCGAATGGAAGATAAAATTTAAAGTATTTAACACTGGTGATCATTCCCACCCTCAGGGCTTTCTGTGTATGTTTCTAATAGAGCAAATGACATCCCTGAGCAAAGGTAGAGCATGAGATTGAGGGTCAGCAGAGCCGTTCGAGTTAATGGACCTTAACTCTCCCTGAGTCTAAATAGACCATTTTATTGAGAGTATTTTAAATCCTTCTAGTGTGCCTCCATTCTGGATGTTAAGATAGACATTATGGGATAGCAGTCTTGCAAGAAGCCATTCAGCTGTATGCTGCCTTTCCTGGCACCTTCCTGGGACAAATTCTTACTTGTTCTGTGCTGGTGGGTAAGGGCTGTTTTTGTACAGTTGAGTTGCTGAGAACAATTACCTAAATTTCTTGGCTCAAAAAAAAGGCTGTTTTAGCAAGAAATGAGTTCTATGAAGTCAGTCAGTATGGTCCACTGAACAAAGAACTAGGCTGTGAACCTGTAGACTGGCATGTAGACACACTAATTAGGTGTTGCCTAATAACCTTTGATCAATTGCTTCTCCGCTTAGGTTGTCTCATGAGTTGTGAAATGGGCATGAAATTTGCCTCTTACCCACTTGAAATCTTTTTTGAATGAATAGAAAGTCTAATATTGCAGAAATGGCAGGTAAAGTTAGTGATTTTTCTAAGGGCCAGATATTTCTAAGAGATGGTAGGAAAAAGGAAATTAACATTTATCCAATACCAACCATGTGCCAGGCATTGTTAAGTGCTTTATATGTATTTTCTAATTTAATTCCCGTAATGGTCCTAAGAGGTAGATATTATATAACCTTCTTTTTACAGGTGAGGAAAACGAGACTCAGAGAAGCTAAGTTTTATGCCTCAGGTCACACAGCTAATAAGAGACAGGGATCTGAACCTTGGTCAGTCTGACTTCAAAACCAGTGTTTTTTTCTGTTGCATCATGCTGCTACAGAGGATTTGCCTCTTATTTATTTATTTTTAAGAACAAAGAGTCTTACAGAGACTAAAGGGTAAAGATAAGCAGAATGAAAATGCAATTGCATGTTTTAGGAGGCAGTAACAGAAATCAGTATTATCAGATTGACTTCTGGTCAAAGCCTTGAGGCAAGCACAGTAGCAAAAGCAGGACTGCTAGAGTGCATGTTATTAACGGAGGGTAATGGGTGTGTGGGCCTCTTAGTGCGCTGCGCGGCTTACTGTGCCCTGTCCGTCGGTACCTTTGTCAGCTGACCTATCACCTCTTTGTAGGGGAAAGCCCATAACTTGAAGCCAAGTGTCAAGGAGAAGCTGGTGGGCAGCCCAGTTCGCTCATCTGAAGATGTAAGCCAGCGAGTCTATCTCTACGAGGGACTCTTAGGTGAGACACAGACTGGGAAGGCCTCTTGCACTGGAGGAAAGCTGGACTCAGATGGGGAAGAGGGTGGCACCAGATGGGTAGCTGCTCAGCTCTGTGCTGGTCTCAGTGCTGATGTTAGAGGGCGTGTTTATATCTGAAGAAGGTGACCTACTGGGTCTGGAAAAAGCCGTAGGTGAGCACTAGAAGAGACTGGATTTTGGTATTAATCAACAGCCTCTGTCTTTCTGTCTGTCTGTCTTTCCTTTCTTGCTACCATGATCCTTCCTGCTCACAAACTGGCAGGAAGGGACAAAGGATCGATGTGGGACCAGTTAGAGGATGCGGCTATGGAGACCTTTTCTATAAGTAACCACCTTTCTTTGTGTGCTGTGTTCCTCCCTCCTCCTCGGGAGGGGCTGGGCCTCACTTGGAGGAGCTGGGCTGGTGGCAGGAATGTTAGTTCTGGGGTGGAGAGGCTCACGTTTGCTTTTCCTAGAATTTGTCCCTTTTATCTGGAGTTTACTCTTTACTTTGGTTTGGCAGCTGTATTCTTTATATGTTAAATAAGCCCCTAGAAAAATTCCGTTCCATGCAGGCAAAGAACGTTCTACGTTATGGGACCAAATGCAGTTCTGGGAAGATGCATTCCTAGATGCTGTGATGTTGGAGAGAGAAGGAATGGGTATGGACCAGGGTCCCCAGGAAATGATCGACAGGTATGAGACTTAGTAAACACTTGGAAAATGCAAACTCAGCCTCTTCCAAATTAGTTCTGTGATCTCCCACCTGAGGACCGACTTGTCGCTGGTCTCCTGCTTAGGTACCTGTCCCTGGGAGAACATGACCGGAAGCGCCTGGAAGATGATGAAGATCGTTTGCTGGCCACGCTTTTGCATAACCTCATCTCCTACATGCTACTGATGAAGGTAATGTCGATTTCACTTGTGCCTAGCTACTGCTGATGGCAGAAGGGCGAGGCTTGTTCCTGTAACCTAAATTCTGGGGCACTTGGGAAGCTGTCAGAGCATCTTACTAGGGCTCTCTTCCTGATTGAAAGTGTGAGGTCTCTCTGCAGCTCACACATGACCCATTTGTCTGAAGCTGCCAGGCTACTGTGCTAAGGAATGTTGTAAAGATGAGTGGTGATTCCATACCATTTGTTTATTTTGAATCTTATTTTGTTTTTATTGAAAAAAATTTTGCAGGGGTACCTGAGTGGCTCAGTCGGTTAAGCATCTGCCTTCGGCTCAGGTCATGATCCCAGAGTCCCGGGATCGAGGCTTGCATCGGGCTCCCTGCTCAGCAGGGAGCCTGCTTCTCCCTCTGTCCCTCACCTTGCTTGTGCTCTCTCTCTCGCTCTCAAATAAATAAAATATATTTTTTAAATAAATAAAAAATTTAAAAAATATTTTTAAGTAATCTCTATGTCCAGCATGGTGCTCAAACTCACAACCCCAAGATTAAGAGTTGCACACTCGGGGCACCTGGGTGACACAGTCGGTTAAGCATCCGACTCTTGGTTTTGGCTCAGGTCATGATCTCAGGGTCGTGGGATTGAGCCATGTGTCGGGTTCTGCACTCAGCATAGCGTCTGCTTGGGACTTTCTTCCTCTCCCTCTGCCCCTCCCTGCCCCACTCTCTTTCTCTCTAAAATAAATAAACAGGGGCACCTTGGTGGCACAGTTGGTTCAACGTGTGACTCTTGGTTTCGGCTCAGGTCATGATCTCAGGGTCATGGGATTAAGTCCCACATCACGCTCCCCACTCAGTGGGAAGTCTGTTTCTCCCTTTCTCTCTCCCTCTGCCCCACCTCGCGCACTTGCATGCTCTCTCTCAAAATTAAATGAATAAATCTTTAAAATAAATAAATGATCTTTTTGAAAAAAGAGTTGCATACTCTACCAAGTTTTGAATTTTATTTTTATTTTTTTATTTATTTTTAAAGATTTTATTTATTTATGTGAGTGGAGGGGGACAGAGCATGAACAGGGGCAGAGGGAGAGGGAGAAGCAGACTCCCCGCCGAGCAGGGAGCCTGACATGGGGCTCGATCCCAGAACCCTGAGATCATGACCTGAGCTGAAGGCAGACACTTAACCGACTGAGCCACCCAGGTGCCCCTATTTTGAATTTTTAAATGGGCTTCCTTTGCTAAGTACTTTTAGGATGCCAGTAGAACTCCCTACAGAATACAATGAGTTTAAAAAAAAATTTAAGTATCAGTTTCTAAAACCTTAGGAAGGATAGTCAGAATTCATTTTTCAGCACTAGCCCTTTATCGTATAGAATTTTCCATAGATGTAAAAAGAGCTACTCATTAAAAAATTAATAGTATAGGTTCTAGGTTGACTCGGTTGTACTTGGTTGTTATAGCTGTGGAAAAAGTATGTTACCAAATAGAAGAGTTCTGCTTTGAAAGGGAAACATAAGTTTGGGGTTGATGGGTAGAAGAGAGTTGTTTTGAGAGAGAGCCCTTGAGTTTCTCCTCCTCCTGTTCTCTTAGCCTCTCAAAATATAAAGGGATTAGTTGATCAGACGCAGAAAACACCTGACAGGCTGACTTAGTTTGTTTCAGTTTCTGTCGTAAGGTTCACTCCTCTCTGTTGAACTCCAGGGGTCCCAGTGAACTCTGGTTGGGAAAGGGTAGTGATCCTGAACCCCGGGAAGGTGTCTCTGCTACAGCCGAGCCAGAATGTCGCTACTCTGAGGCCTCATTTCTGAACTATACTCTGAGGAGCCCCAGGGGTTCTTAGGGCCCTTCAGGGGTGAATGTTACAGTATTGGTTGGGGATAGGGAGGAAGTGTCTCCTTGAACTCCAGTCCATTTGAACCAGACCTGCTTTAGAGCTACTTTTCTATAGAAGCCACCCAGAGACAGCCAGGATTTTCCTTCCCAGCCTGTTGGCAGAATAGACAGTTGAATGTTTTCTCTCATATTCAGTGTGTGGACTCCGAATTGTCTCAAATGGTAGGAAACTTGCTTGTACATTCCCTCTACGTCATTTGCAAGGAGAGCAGATCCCTCATTAAGATCTCGCTTTGGCTTTCCAGGTAAATAAGAATGACATCCGGAAGAAGGTGAGGCGCCTGATGGGAAAGTCCCATATTGGGCTTGTGTACAGCCAGCAAATCAATGAAGTGCTTGATCAGCTGACAAACCTGGTAAGCATGTCTGCGCCGTCTCCTAGGCTCCCCTCCCACCGTACTTGTCGCGTCGCCTCCCTGGCTGGGACCTCGTCGCCTAATGCAGAGGCTTCCCCACGGGTCATTTCTTGGCCTGTATATTTTTAAGACCCCAGTTTTGAAAATAGGGCTTTGAGTCTAGATAAGGGTTTAGTCCTTCTGTTCTGGGATAGGATTCTCTGTACTAAAACTATCCTGGTGCAGCCATTTCAGCATGTGGTCTGTGGACTCCTAAGGCTCCACGAGCTGAAACCTATTTTCATCATAGTACTACAATGTTTGCCTTTTTTAACCGGGTTGACATTTGCACTGATGGTACAAAAGCAGTGATGGATAAACTGCTGGTTACCTTCACATAGTGAAGGCAGTGGTACTGAACCATGCAAGGAGCCATGCAGCGCTCTCTCAGTTTAAAAGAGAAAGAGAAAGAAAAATAGTTGCACTTATGAATGTTCTTGATGAAAGCATTAAAATCATTAATTTTACTAAATCTGATCATTGATTATACATCTTTTTAATATTTAATGTGACAAAATGAGAAATATACAGGAAGTATTTGTGTTGCAAACCAAAATATGATTGTTTCAAGGAAAACCAGTTTGTGACAATTTGAGTTGCAAGGTGAACTGTCAGTTTTGTTCATGGGACATCGTTTTTACTTGGAAGAATGACTAACTGTGGTTATTCAGAGTTGGGTATTTATTTGGCAGACTTCTAAGCATGAAGCTTCCTGATATTTAAAGGCTTTGTAATGAGATTGATGATATTAATCAATGTGATTTTTTTATCTTCTCTAATGAAGTGTGTCAATATTTAATATTTGGAAGAGCTGCATTACTCCTTAAACCAGTATTTTCCAAAAGACTGTTGGGTGGTGGTAGAAATTCAAGTATAAGTGAAGATCCACTCAAAATGCAAGGCAGACAAACGGATTTCATGTTACAAAGTACAAAATGTTCATTTTGATGGGTTTTCAGATTTCATATTGCAACTATCAGAAACTGTTACTTCTCAAGTTTTGGTGTAATTACCAAAGAAAAATATGCATATTTATCTGGAAAATCTATTAAAATACTACTCCCTTTTCCAAATACATATCTGTGAGACCAGATTTTCTTTATATACCTCCCAAAGCAACATAACACAATGGATGGAATGCAGAAGCAGATATGAGAATCCAGCTGTTTTTTAAAGACAAACATGTGAAAAATGTAAAACAGTGCCAGTCTTCTCTTTTTTTGTTGTTGTTGTTTTGGGAAATGTTATTTAAAATATTTGTATTACCATGTAACAGGTATATTATTAATGACTTTAAAATGAATGAATTTTTAAATTTTTCAGTTTTAATTTCTAATATGGTAAATATCTATAAATATACCCCACATAATCCTAAGCTCTTGGGGGTTGTGAATAATTTTTAAGAGATACAGGGGCCCTAAGACCCTGAAGTTTGAGAGCACGTCCCTTGTGGCCTGTGACCAGCAGATGGCACTGTGCTAAGTAAACTGGTAGGAATTTAATAGCTGAAGTTGGGGTGGGAGCAGAATTCTTGGCCCAGAGAGCTCTGTGAGAGAGATATATGGATGTCCCTAACAGATCTCTCTTTTCTCAGAATGGACGTGATCTCTATATCCGGTCCAGCGGCAGCCGGCACATGAAGAAGCAGACATTTGTGGTACATGCAGGGACAGACACAAATGGAGATATCTTCTTCATGGAGGTAAATGCTAGTTCATATGTCTCAAAGGGACATTTGAGAGTCATGAGGAACTTCTAGACCTGATACCTGATTTCTCCCACTTAATCTCGTTCATCTTCGTGATCCATTTATCATTAAATTGTCAGGCTCTTACTCAAGTAATATAATGGATAATTGACCATCATTTGTTTTAAATAGATGTTGAATACATGATGTAGTCGCATTGTCCGTAAGTCAGGACAACTTAAAATGGTAGGCATTGGGAAGTCTTGCTGTCTTTCTTATCTCCTTCCTCTCAATTTCCCATCCCCCTCACCCCTTCTTCCTATAGGTAACCACTTCTGTGGTCTCCTTTGTATCTTACAGTGGTATTTTATACAAACACAATACAATATGAACATAGGTTCTTTTTCTTTTTTCTTACAGAAAGGTAGCACATCAGATCCATTGATCTGTACCTTGCTTTTCTCATTGAACATATCCTGGAGAGCTCTATGTCAGTACAAAAAGAGGGTTCTCTTTTTTTTTCTTTAGTTGAAGAAGAGTTGATGTACAATGTTAGATTAGTTTCAAGTGTACAGCATAGTGATTCGACGATTCTGTACATTATGCAGTGCTCACCATGATAAGTGTGGTCACCATCTGTCACCATACATCATTACGATGTCATTCACTGTATTTCCTCTGGCTCTCATTCTTTTTACAGCTGCATGGTACTCCATGGTGCTGCTATACAGTAGTTGACTTATCTCAGTATCTATGTGCCCGCCTGCTGCCCCCCATACACGCGCAGCTCTGTAAGAGCTCGCAGAGGCCATCACCACACCGAAGGAAGAATGCATTGATGGCTTTGACTGACAGGACTCAGACGTATCTCATAACACATAATAGCTCCCCTCCCGCTTTGCCGTTTATTTCGTTGAAGAAATGTGCCCCATGGACTATCTCACATTCTAGACTTTCTGCTGATTGCATCTCTTTGGTGTTAACATGTTTCTCCATCACTTGTATTTTTTATAAGCTAGTAGTTCAACCTAGGGGTTTGATGAGTTTCAGATTCAATATTTTGGCAAGAATACTTCATGGTTGGTGCTGTATGTTGCCTGCTGCCCCATATGGCCATCTCTCTCTCTTAGAGATCAGTAGGTTGAGATGTGGGCAGCCTGATCTATTGTTCCCTGTGAAGTTCCTCATTAGTCCTTTGAGTTTGCCTATGGGTTTTGTTTTGTTTTGTTTTGTTTGCCATGCAGAATTTTTTTACTTTTTCTTTTTACCCTCCCTCCAGCTCTTGGCAGAATCTTTTTACTTTTATGTAGTTGAATTCATCTTTTTTTTTTTTTTATAGCTTCTGGGTTTTGAGTCATAGTTAGAAAAACCCTTCCTTATTCCAAGATTGTAAAGGAAATTGGCTGTGGTTTCTTTATTTCTGTATTTTTAATTCTAAAATGAATCTCTTCTACATAATTGTAGGAATCAAGTACAACTCCTATATAAAGTAGTAAAATTAAATAATTTTACAAGTATTCTGTTTTCTTTTGGTTTAGTTGAGTTTGATTTTTACATCCACAGCTTTTGAACGAGTGGTTTATCAAACATGGGGCAGGGGTTCTGCCCTGAAGTAGAACCATGCATGTTGGTGTAGCCGAGAAGAGAGTCATTTTCATGTTACTGTGAAGTTCTAGAATTTGGCTAGGTGTCTCCTCAAGCTGAGGACTAACTTTGGACATCTGCACCACAAAGAGGTGGCAGGTGATTCTCACCCTCTCCTTTTCCTTTTAAAGAATAAATCCAGAAGATTCCTTGAAGTATAGGACTAACTCTCACCACCACACAGGGGAGCCTCATGCAAAGTTCCTGGAGTATGGGTGGATCCATCACTTTATAGATGCCTCTCCCTTAAGGTGTCAAATAAGACTGTACCTCACTCACCCCGTTAGCCACTCGCTACGCTTAGCCTGATTTAGCCTTTCTCATCTCTGCACAGCCTGCTGGCTGCAGGAGCACTGGGAGAGCGATTGCAAAGACTTTTAAAAATCCCCTTTATTACTTTTTTTTTTAAATTACAGAAGTAGATTAGGGCGCCTGGGCGGCTCAGTCAGTTAAGTGTCTGACTCTTGATTTCGGCTCAGGTCATGATCTCAGGGTCATGAAATCGAGCCCCTAGTTGGGTTCCGCACACTGGGCATGGAGCCTGCTTAAGATTCTCCCTCTCCTTCTGCCCCTCCCTGCTTGTGCATGCAAGCGCTCTCTCTCTCTCAAAAAAATAATAGTAAGTTACAGAAGTAGAACAGTACATGCTGTGAAAGTTTCAAACCATATAGAAGTAAATGAAATAAAAAGTAAAAGTTTCCCTTCACTTCCTTCCAGTGCCATGTCTCAGAGGTAACCACTGTTAAAGAGTTTGGCCTGATTTTTAAAAATGCATATTTGTATAAATACAATTTACTTATGTGTAATTTTGTTTCAGTGTTTACAAAAGTGGTTATCAAACTACAAATATTGAGATATAATTTGATTTTTAATTTATGACTGACATCTTTCCATGTCTACATGTTACCTAAATCTGTCTCTGTTTTTTTCTTTTTTTGTTTTTTGTTTTGTTTTGCTTTGCTTTGTTTTTGTTAAGTAAGCTTTATACCCAACATGGGGCTCAAACTCACAACCCCAAGATCAAGAGTTACATGCTTCACCAACTGAGATAGCCACACACCCCTGTCCCTGTTTTTTAAATGGATGATTAATTTTGTTTTGTTTTGTTTTTTTAGCTATTAGGTGTTATATGGATGTATACCATAAGTTATTCAACTAGTCCCTCTCACTTTTTTTTAAATGTTTCATTGAATATACTTGAGAATACACATGAGAATTTCTTTTTCTTTTTAAGATTTATTTTTATTTTATTTTGAGAGCAATGTGTGTGAGCATGCGTTGGGGGAGGGGCAAAGGGAAGGAATCTTCAAGCAGACTCCCTGCTGAGCGTGGAGCCCATCCTGGGACTCCATCCCACAACCCATAAGATCATGACCTAAGCCAAAACCAAGAGTTGGGCACTCAACCAACTGAGCCACCCAGGTGCCCCTTCACATGAGAATTTCTATAGGCTAGATTCTTAATGTGAAATTTCTGGATCAAGCTTATATAGATTTAAAATTTGTATAGATTCTGCCAAATACCATCCCAAAGACTATACCAGTTTATTTTTCCACCAGCAGCATAGGCGAGTATGGTACATTATTACTGTCATCTCTTTAGCCTAGAAATCATTTGTTCTAAATACCTGTCCTACCCCTCACCTTTACATGGTGTTCTTAAAGGATTATGGAAAGTGGGGGTAGTAGTCTTCATTTTTCACCTGGAGAAAACTAGAGTCAGACTAGGGCTAGAATTCTAATTTCTACTCAGCTACTATATGACCTTATCCTTCATAAGGCTTTTAGAACCTTGTAACTCTTAGGTAGTAGATTAAACCTGGTAGTCTTGTGTATTCCTTTTTCATTCATTTAATATTTATGGAGCACATACGATATGCCAGCTACTCTGAGTATGTGGTTATAGCAATGAATAAGAGAGACATGGTTTCTCTTGTCCTTATGGGGTTGACAAGCCATTGGGGAAGTCAGCTAATGAAACAAAGTGTCATAAAGTATGATGAGTGTTATGAGAGAAGATGCTCAGGGCATAGGCAGGCAGTATGGGAATACATAGTAGAGGGTGTAGGAGTTGTGGATGACCGCTCAGAAGTGACCTTTGAGCTGAGACTTGAAAGAAGTATGAATTAATGGCTGGAGCGGGGGAGGGGGAGAGTTCCAGGGGTATTTGAGGTGAAATGGATGGGACTCAGTGGTGTAGTGAGAGGGAAAACAAGGAGTCTCACATCACTCCTTCGTTTCTGGCTTGGGCAGCTGGGTGAATGGCGACACCATTTACTCAACTAGGGGACTCAGAAGGAGCATCTGCCCAGGAGGAAATGCTGACTTCACATTTGGAAATGATGAGCTCGAGGTGCTGCCTGTGAGCCATCCAGATAGAGAGTGGTTCAGGAACTCAGGAAGATGGGTCTTGTGTGGAGAAAGATTTGAGAACCATCAGTGGGGTCGTAATAATCATTGTTACATTTTTTTATATTATAATTATAATGTTACAACATCTAACTCTAGGGTACTTCCTATATGCCTGGCTTTGTTCTAAGAATTCTACACACATTGACTTATTTAATCTTCACACGAGGAGATGTAGATGCAGAGCAGCTTGTTCAAGGTGACATAGCTAAGTAATGGACAGCTGGAAACCTAACACAGTCTGATCTTAGAGGGAGAGTGTTGAATAAGAAGAGACTGTGAAGGGGGCACCTGGGTGGCTCAGTGGGTTGAGCGTCTGACTCTTGATTTTGGCTCAGGTCATGATCTCAGGGTCATGAGATTGAGCCCTGCTTCGGGCTCCACCCTAGACGTGGAGCCTGCTTAAGATTCTCTCTCTCCCTCTCCCTCTGCCCATCCCCACTGCCGCTCACGCTCACTTGCGTGCACGCGCACTCTCTCTCTCTCAGAATTAATTAATTAATTACAAAGGACTTACAGTATTAAAAAGAGAATGTGAAGGAGGAGTTTGCCTTTCAATTACATCATCCGGTATTATATAATATTTTCTGCGGTGAGCGTTGCCCAAGTGTCACTAATGTGATTAATTATTGAAAAGATATATGCCGAACTACGGCTGAGCCAGTATTAGAAATTGCCTTGGTTCCATATTTTTCTCCTCGGTTAAGCCTGCCGTAACCCCTGCCTCTGCGCTCACCCACAGAGATGGTCCGTAAGGTTGGCACCTGGCGGCGGGAGACACCCTCATAAGTCTAGAGCATGTGAGAGGTGGTAGACGCTGGGCGAGGTGGAAATTGAAACACTGATTGCTCCCCCTCCCTGCTCGCCGGCTCCTCTCCGTGATTCCTTTTCTTTCAGCAAACCTCCCAGCGGACAGTAGGTCCAGCAGGTCAGTGTTTGTGTCCCCAGCAAAGGAGGACGGTGAGCGGGGGCAGGGCAGCTGACCGTGGGGTGCTCCCAGACCAGCTGCCCCGTGCTGCCCCCGGGGGGCAGGCCAGCGCGGCCCGCGGCAACGGAGGCTGCAAGCACCGGTCCCCCCGCAGGTTTGCGACGACTGCGTGGTGCTGCGCAATAACCTCGGGACGGTGCATGAGCGCTGGTGGTACGAGAAGCTCATCAACATGACCTACTGCCCCAAGACCAAGGTGTTGTGCCTGTGGCGCAGGAACGGCTCTGAGACTCAGCTCAACAAGTTCTATACCAAGAAGGTACCAGGAGCTCTGTTCGGGCGGAGGGGGATGCTGAGGGCCAGGCGTCAAGTTTCTGGCGAGGAGGTTAAAATGCCACAGCCCATGTCGAGAGCCCCCCTTTGGCCTCCGCTGTTGTGTGGGGCGCACAGAGCTGTCTCCGGGGCCCGGTGCCCCGGCCCTTGGCAGGCGGTGGAGAGCAGCGCGGGGGGACCTGGCAGGTTGGGTGACAGGATGGTCCTCGCCCTGTGCCGCAGTGTCGGGAGCTGTACTACTGCGTGAAGGACAGCATGGAGCGGGCCGCTGCCCGGCAGCAGAGCATCAAACCCGGTGAGAAGACAAGGACTCCCCGAGCAAGGGCCTTTTGTTTGTTTCCATCCATCCTTCTGAGCGTCAGAGGCCGGACGGTTCCCCAGCCCCCCAGTTAGCTGATGACCTCCTCCCCCACCACAGGCCCTGAACTAGGTGGCGAGTTCCCCGTGCAGGACATGAAGACTGGTGAGGGTGGCTTGCTGCAGGTCACCCTAGAAGGGATCAATCTCAAGTTCATGCACAACCAGGTAGGTGGGAGCGGCAGCCCCGGCTGCCCGGCCCAGTTCTTCCATCTGCAGTAAGGCTTGGTGTCCAGGTCCCAGTGCTTTCCAGTGAGCCTGCGGGCCTTTGGGGCTAGTGGGAGGATGGGAGCAGCTGGACCAGAGAGAGAAATCAGAAGGAGGGCACAGTGACGTTGGCAACCACCTGGAAGGTGCAGTGGGGAGCCTCCGTGGGAGGCGGGGAAAGAGAGGGAGCCGTGGTGGCTAGGCTGCCTCCGTCCGTTAGACTCAGCACAGTGTGAGTGGGAGCGTCTCACTTGGCCCTTCTTCGCACAATGTCTGCCTTCCCTTATTCCCAGGGGGTGCTTCTGCTTGGTGGTTTTGCTTTGAAGAGTCTAGACCAGCTCATCTCCTCGCGTGTTTCTGGTGTGCGTGAAGCCTGTGTGCGTGTGCCTGTGCGTGTGTGCGTGTGTGTGTGTGTGTGTGTAGCTTGTGTCTGTCCTATCTGGAGTATGTGTGTTTATTTGCCTATTTCTCCTGCTGATTCTTCTTTCTATTCTTTTCGTTCCTCTGAGTGTCCCCACTCTGTCCCCTGCTCCACAGGCCCCATTCCCCTTCTTTTGACTGGGGACCACTTCAGAATACATCTTTCTCTCATTGTGATTCCACCATAGGAGCTGACTTTTTTTTTTCTTTCTCTTGGTCTTTTAACACAGTGTTACTTTTTCTCTCAGTGGACATTCCTTAAGCTAATTCCTTTCTGAGGCCAGCGCATCAGCCCAGGTCCGTTCCCCGTTCTGACTCTTCACACAAGTGCCTTCCCTCCCTCTTCCCTGACGTCCTGGTTCCTTTCCTTGAGGCTGTGAGCCAGGTCTGAATGTGTGAGCACCACAGCCCCGGGCCAGGCAGCAGACACTCAGGGGAGGTGACCCTCTGGACTCCGTGGCTTGCTTCCTCCCCTTGCCATTTTAGTTTCTTCTTTCAGGAACCCAACCGGGCAGCTTCGGTGTGATGGGAAACAGCTGCTCAGGCAGTGTATTTCCAGCAGTACATTTACTGTCCGTGATTTTAATATATTAAATAGCATACTTGAGACCTTCGGGTCAGCCCAAGGAGAGGTTTACTGGAGTACTTTTCTGGAGCACGAAGGTGCCAGCACTTCTTGGGGAGCAGGCTTCTGACTGCCTTTTAGTGCCGTGGCTTGCCCTGATGCCTCACCTTCCGAAGAGGAGATCTTGTTAAACAACAGCCAGCCCCCTTCTGGGTCCCCCGCTCTGGACCGACCCAGTGTCTAACCAGTCCATGGATATGTACAAGCTGGTCTGTAGCTTAAGGCTTTGCCCTAGAAGGGAGATCCTGCAGAGAGGGGAGTCAGGCCCCGACTGATCACAAGAGAACAGCCGTGGGGTCCATCTTCCACCATGAACGGTCTGTTGGAGTTGAGGAAGCATTGGACCCTCTGGTGGAGTCCTACAGGGTGGGGTAACAAACGGATCTTTGGAGTCAGGATGTGCTTGGATTCAGAGCCCAGCTTCGCTACTCATGGGCAGATAAACTTTCTGATCCCGTGTCCTCCTCTATAAAACGAGGGTCGTACTACACACTGGGCTACATGGATGTGAGGATTACAAATAGGGTTTGGAGGACTCCTGGTCGGAGCTCCTAAGCGATAGCCATTTTATTCTCTCTCCGTGTACTTCTTGGGAGAGCCTGGATTTTGTCAAGGAAGATATCAACATCTCCTACCCCAAGGACAATCCGAGGGGAGCTTTGCACCCGTGCCAGCCCTCTGCGCCGGAGGAGGATGCATGGAAGGGTAGAGAGCTGATGGGCTGAGCGGGGAGACCCCCGGGGCACCGTGTCCTCCAAGCGCTGCCCTGGGCAGAGGGGATGGGCGGGCAGCCCAGGACAGCAGAGGGGCCTTCGGGTTGGGTTTGACCATTAAAACTAACGCCTTCATTTCTCTCCCATGCTTTCTCCTCCGGCCAGGAGCGGAAGGTACATGCCCTTTCTGCTGTCTTCGCTTCTTAGCGCTTTTGAGTTGCGTGTGTGTGGATTCTCCGGCCCTCACTCTGGGAACTAGGTCTTCTGTGTGGGGGCGGGGCTGTAGCTGGGAGAGTGGGCAGTTGTGGGGCAGGGGGAGAGCCTCCGGGCCTGACCCCGCCCTCCCTCCCTCCCTCTCTTGCAGGTTTTCATAGAGCTGAATCACATTAAAAAGTGCAATACAGTCCGAGGCGTCTTTGTCCTGGAGGAATTTGGTAATTACACTATTTTGCTCTTAGGTCTGGACTCACATGGCAGTAACTCAAACCTCGGCGCTCCAGAGGAGGGACTAGAGGCAGAGAGAAGAACCACCTCTGCAGAGAGGTCAGGAGGCTTAGGAGTGATAGGGAAGAGAAGGGAACCCGTGATGAGCGAGGGGAAGGAAGAAGAAGGAAGAGCGAGACAGTGACTGCTAGGGAACGGGTCGCCGAAGAGAAAGTGGCCCTAGACGGGGTTAGAGGTCAGAGGCGCTCCTGCGGAGGCTCCGGGAGCAGGCGCCGCCTTCCCTTCTCGGCCAGCTGGTGGTCAGAAAGTTCTGGGGCAAGGCAGACGGGCAGTTTCCAAGCTCTGCTGTGTTCGTGTCGCCTGCTGAGCTCCTCCTAGCAGCCCGGGACTCCGTCCAGCCACCCCGGTGCCGCCCTGGTGTCCGCCTGGCCTCTGTGCGGGAGCAGGGCCGTGCGGTGGCCCGGGCAGCCTCACTCGAGAGGGCAGGGAAGCCTAATGGGCCTCAGAGGCAGGCAGGGCAGTTGTCGCGGGAGGCTGGCGGCCAGCCTCCCTGCATCCCCGCAGCCAGGCGCCGACGCTGACCGGTGGTGTAGTGGGTTCTCACCCTGGGGCTTTGAGTTCCTGCTGTGTTTGTGCTTCATTCTTTTGTGCCCCTCATCGCTGCTATGAAAACCTTCGTTCTCCAGCAGGTAAAGTGACCTCGGCTCGTGCTGCCTCCCCCCCAGGCCCCTGCCTGGGCCCTGCCATGGGTGGGACGGGCTCCCTTCAACCAGACCAGCTGCTCACACTGCCCTTTTCTCTGCCCGCCCCCCCCCACCTCCCCCGTGCTGGCTGACTGGTTCTGAGTTTTCTCCCCTGTGTGTTCCCTTCTCTCTTCTGCCAGAGAGATATTTGGGGGAATCTTCCAACTCAGGAGAAGGACCTGGGCTTCTTGCTCTACCTATGATGAGTTTATTCCCTGTTAATCCTGGGTCCCCCCGAATTCTACCTCCCAGGGTCAGAAGAAGGTGTGGCCAACTCTCATCCTACCTTTTCTGGCCCCCAGGGGGACACCACACCCCTCTGCTCCCTTCTCCAGGGGCCATCAGGATGGCTGGGCCCCCGGGGGGCCTTCCTCCTTCCTCTGGCCAAGCAGAACCCCTGCATGGCTGGGGCAGGGGTGACTTAGTCTTGCATTCTGGGCTGTGGACATGTGTGTACTTTGCCTGATGCTCCCTGTCACCTCCCTCCCCGGGTGCTATACTCGCCTGTCTTCTGCTCGGTGTGTCTGCTCCAGAGCCCTCTGACGCTCTCCCTCACACAGGCAGGCCTGGGCCTCTCTTGCCACTCAGGGAAGGACACTTACAAGTCTGCTGGGTTTTAGTATCATGCCACTTCTTCATCCAGCCTAAGGACCCTCTGCGTAGGGGCTGGGAGTACAGGGAACCATGCTTAACATGAACAGAGTGTCGGGCTGGTAACAGGGATGAGTTCTCGGGCATCTCAGCAAGGTGAGGCACAGGCTAGAGACAACGCTCCTCACCCGACCAACATGGGGCAACGCCCCACTGCAGCTCCTCGGGGCCCTGGACATTAGCAGCGAGCAGGCTGGTGAAAGGCCAGCCCTCTCCTGTGCGGAGGCTCTCCCCGAAGCGGCTAGAGTCGTGGCCATCGAGCAGGGAGCCCCAGCAGACCCCACAGGTCTGGCTGCGGAGTCTGGGGCAGTGTCCTCTCGTCCAGCAGCGGCTGGGCAGGTGCCGTCAGAGTGTAAGCTGCTGCAGCCCCTGGCACAGGCCACCGCGGGGCAGGGGACCCCGGTGCCGGGCGCTGCCGCCTGGGGGAGCCTGGCACTGTCGCTCTCAGTTTTGAACTTTCTGTTTTGTCTCTTGCCCGTCCGGTTTTAGTTCCTGAAATTAAAGAAGTGGTGAGCCACAAGTACAAGACACCAATGGTGAGTGTGCCACCCAAGCCGGCAGGCCAAGTGTGCACAGGGCTCCCTGGGGACCCTCACACAGGAGTGGGGCGGGCCCCCTGAGAGCACGGGGGCAGGCGGACTAGGGACGGTTGGAGAGCTGCCTTTGGTCTGGAAGCCGAAACGAGCCTTCAGCCCCGGGAGAGACACACACACACACAGACCCCCAGGCCCGGCAGTCAGCTGTGAGGCTGAGCCCAGCGCGAGGGCAGACTTTTCTGCTGGGCAGATCTCCCTGCGTGGAGAGGGGGGAGTCTGAGGAATTTGATCCGTCTGGTCTCTCTCTCCCCTCTAGGCCCATGAGATCTGCTACTCTGTGTTGTGTCTCTTCTCGTACGTGGCTGCAGTTCGTAGCAGTGAGGAGGATCTCAGGACCCCGCCCCGGCCCGTCTCGAGCTGATGGGAGGGGTTAAGAGCCCCCAGGTCAGGGGGTGCCCTTGCATCTTCTGCTCGCCAGGGCACGATGCTGCGTGTGTGTTCTCTGCAAGCCCCTCGCTGTGGCTTAGTTGGTTCACAGTTGTGTGTCTCCACGTGTCTTAGTGTCTGTCACAGGGCTCAGCGGGTTTCCTCTGCCTGCTCGCTCTCCACTCCCAGGAGACCAGCCCGCTGTCCCCTCAGGGCTCAAGAGCCATGTGTGTCTGTCTTTGGGGCCAGTGGCTTCTGAGAATTCTGAGCACGGTATGAGCCCACCATCGCGTGTCCCTGAGACATTCGTGTTGTGGTTCCTCGTCCTTGTCGTTATGAGCCTCCAGTGCAGGACTCTGGCTCTCCGTCCTCTGGGGCCCGGTGTGCCTGGGTGTCGGGCGAAGTCCCATTTGGTACCGAGGGAGGGAAGCTTGAGGCCTGTCCACCCAGACGAGAGGTGGGCAGGGAAAGGCCGGGAGAGTCACGGGGCGGCAGGGTGAGTGGCAGCCTCCCTCCCCCTCACGCATTTCCCAGGCTGGCGGCCGCCCGCCGTGGCCCCTGCAGGGGGGCAGCACCGAGGGGCTCCCCTTTGCCGAGCGGCAGTTTCCCTAAGGTCTGCCTGGCATTTGGCCTGAGAGAGCAGAGTGGTTGGGCTGGGAGAGCCTCAGAGGCCCCTGGCTCCCGTGCCCAGGGAGCAGCGTGGGGCAGGGCCACGTTCAGTGTACGTGGCCCGTGTCTGCAGACAGCGGCCCCTGGCCCTCGGTGCCAGAGTGGGGGATGGCCTGGGAGTGGGCAAGAGAGGATTGTGCATAGTTCGCCTCTACGTTATTTATAGAAAATGTACAGATGTGTGAATGTGAAATAAATGTCCTTAACTCGCCTTGGGCTCCTCCTGCCTTATATTTAACGCTGCCTCCTCTCGGCCCGGGCCTGAGGAGCTGTCCCTGGACTCTTCGAAGGCCCCTCAGGCCTAGCAGGAGAGAGAGGAGATCATGGTCCTCCGAGTCCTGGCGTGCTGGAGGCCCAGCCTCCCACCCCACCGACCCAGCAGTGCCCCTCACCTGGCTTCCTGGACGCCCAGGGAGAGGTTGGGGAGGGCTTCCTGCCCTCTGCCCCCTAGCCCTGCAGGGGGCTGCTGAGCTGAGAACTGGCCACCAGAGGAAGCAGCCAAACCCGGCTGAGACACCTGAGCAGAGTCACGTAGCAGTGAAGGAAAAACCAAGGCTCCCCTTGCCCCTCACAGGCGTGGTCCAGAGAGGGGATGTGACTCAGGGTGTGACTTGGACAGGGCCTGGAGCCCCGGGCTCTGAGCTCTTGGCCAGCAGTGCCTTGGGTTGGGTAGAACTCGGACAGAAGGAACCCTAGGACCAGGCTTCCTGGAATTGTTTTTTTCTATGCCATGGGGAAACCTCTGGCACTCCCTAGGACAAGAAAGACCATCCGCTTATTTTTTTCTTTTCTTTTCTTTTCTTTTTTTTTTTTTTGAGAGAGAGCAGTGCAGGGGCAGTGGGGGAGGGGAGGAGAATCTTAAGCAGGCTCCACACCCAGCGTGGAGCCCCATGCAGGGCTCGATCTCATGACCCTCAGATCCTGACCTGAGCCAAAATCAAGAGTCCGATGCTTAACCGACTGAGCCACCCAGGCGCCCCAAGACCATGCACATTCTGTTAGGGCACTTCTGAGACCCGTTGGCTTCCTCTTCCCAAAAGTAAACTGATGACTGGATTGAGGCTCCCACGGGGGAAGGAAGAGCAGAGGAGGGCCCTGTTTCCCAGTATCTTGTGCTGGACAGGACTGCCCTCTCCTACTGGGAAACAGGTGTGGAAGGGCCGTGGGCTTCTTACGCACTGGAACCCCAAGGCAGCCTGGGGCAGCTCCATTCCAGGCCTTATGGGCCCAGAGCCACACTGAAGTTCAGCTCCGCCCCGTGTCCAGGCTGCTGTGAGCACAGGTCAGCAGGACAAAGAGCATACAGAGCACGGGGGACCAGGCGGGAGAGCCTTGGGTGTCAGCTCTGTTGCTAATACACCCCCTCCGTCACTGCCCCTTGCTTTCCTCACTGGAAGAACATGCGTGGTGGGGGAAGACGGAGGTTTCTTCTAGTGTCTTGTGGGTTTAGGATTCCCCTCTCACCCGGGAGACAGAATACCTGCCTCAGTTTGCTCGGAAGGTCAAGTGTCTTTCCCTGGGCTTTTTGTGAAAACAAACACATCGGACAAGAAGAGCCAGCTCTCTGACTGCAGTCGTCTTTTATTGCCCTTAGCCTGTGAGAACACGCGGCAGGCCAGGAAGGCCTGTCCCCAGCCACCATCTCCTGCGCCCACCAACTTTCTGCCCCAAAGTCCTGAGAGCTTCCAGGGGGAGCTCCAGTGGTTCGGTCTGTGCAGAGCCCCAGGCCTGCTCGTCTTCACAGCCCTGCCATCCTGACACTCCCCCAGCCCAGCCCCCGGATACACACTTGAGCACACACATCCAACAGCAGGAAGGCGGCTTGTGCCGCGTCCTTCCAGGCTCCCGGGACATGGGCCGGCATCCTGCAGCACCTGTAACACGGGTTCCCTTGTGAATGCACTTGACTGAAACCCTGGGAAGAGGCGCCTGCACCTTTGTTTCCTGATGGCTGCCCCCGAACCGAGGACCAGGGCTCGGCCTCTGACTCGGGCCGGGGGCGTCGGGATGGCTTGGAGGACATACCTGGCCGTCTCCGGGGAGCCAGCTGGGTCACTGAGGCACTGCAGGGGAGAAGGAGGCCATGCCACACGTGTGTTCCCTCTCCCAGCACCTTGCACGTCCTCCCCCCGCCAGCCTCCTGGGAGGCCGAGCGGGCAGCTGTGGCAGCGGAGCCCAGAAGCCAATGCCCATGTTGGACACGACAGGGGCATTGCTCTTTCAGCCAGAGGAGCTGCGTGGGCCAGGCCAGCAGGGTCCCAGCTGGTTCCCTGCCTTCTCCACCACCCCGGACCCTGTTCCCATGGGCTCCTCACCTCGTACTTCCAGGCGGCACTCACACTGTGCCTCGCCTTGTAAGTTGGTGGCCCTACAGACGTAGATGCCCCCGTCAAAGGGGCAGGGCTTTCTAATCTCCAGGGTCAACACTCCCTGCTTGCTGAACATGCGGAAGCGGGCATCTTGCCCCAGGTCCAGGCCGTTCTTGAACCAGGAAATCTTGGGCTATACGTCAGGTAACGGGAGGAAGGGAGACCATCTCAGGTTGACAGGAGACCTCGCGGGAACCTGTTTCTATTCTAGGGGCTCCCACTGGAGTCCACACGATACCCAAGCAGGGAATGAACAGGGAACCGATGGAGACTGCCAAGGCCCTCTTCAGGCAGAGGCGCCCGGCCCTGAGCCCCGTGGGACAGAACGCAGGGAAAGGCTGGGGAGAGGACCGCTGGTGGTTGGAGCCTCTGAACCCTGCCTCCTGAGTCGGCCTGGCCCGGGACCCCAAGCTCTGTACCTTGGGGCTACCCCGGACAGCACAGCAGAGGGTAGCATTGTAGCCGGCGATGACTGAGCGGCTCACCAGGGGGCGGGTGAAGCTCGGGGCCTCAGAGAAGTCCAGGGCCTTATAGCTGGGGGGCTCATACGTGATGCCTGTTGGTGATAGGACTTTGTACCAAGAGTGTCACCCCATACTCGGCCCCCTCCCTGCTCCCACCGCCTCCCTGCCCCAGCTCCTGCTGGGGGTGGGAGTAAAGGTACAGCACCTGGTTTGGGGATAAACACAGGCTCCTTGGTGGTGGCGGCTTTGTCACTGGGTCCCACCATGTTATGGCTGAAGACCCGGAAGTAGTAGCCATTGCCAATGATGAGCTCTGACACCACGCAGTGAGTACGGTGGTAATGCTCCAAGACGGTGAACCACTCCTGGGGGTGTGGAGGAAAGGGGGTCTCTCTGGGGGCTGGCCCTACTATCTGCCAGGGACCTCTTCTGGGGACCCCTGGTGTCTGCACCCCAACTGTGGAGGGAACCAGGTCAGAGAGGGAGGATGAGCGGCAGACCCATTCTAACGACTGGGGCGGGAGCTGGGGCCAGGTCTGCCTGGGCCTAAGGAGGGTATCTATGGGGGGCCCAGGACCCCAGGCTCACCATGGTCTTCTTGTCAGCTTTCTGTACCGTGTACCCCCAGATCTCTGTGTTGCCATCATCTTGGGGTGGCTTCCACTCCAGAGCCACGTTGAAACCCCACGCTTCAATGACCCGAATATCCTGGGGAGGGCTTGGCTTGTCTGCAGGAGAGAGCCCAGCTGGAACACACCTCCTGAGCTGGCCCGCCGCCTTCTGTGGGGGCTCCGGGCATCCCAGAGGAGGGGCCCCAGCACCACGCACCAACGATCTGCAGGACCAGCGTGGCCTTGTCCTCCATGTTCTCAATTCGCAGCATCACCTGGTAGGTGCCAGAGTGGGCCCGGCGAGCAGCCCGGATGAACAGGATGGTGTCTGTGGGGCTGTTGCGGATGCTCACCTCCTCACCTGCCAGGGGCTGCCCCTCTTTGGTCCAGGTCACCTGAGGCCGGGGCTTGCCCTGTGGGGAGGGACAGCTCACCCCCGAGCCTGGCACGACTGGG